AAAGGTAGAATTCAGTCCCCATCCAGGATGAGGAAATGTCCAATTTTTTCCCTTCAGTTAAACTTCTCAAGCTTCTGTGGCCACTGGCCAAAGCTGTTTTTCTCTGCAAAACCAGGATCAAGTGGCTTTGATTTATTGAACCTTTGACCCATAAATGAACAAGAGGAAACAAGAGAGATCATTCCAAGGGGAGGAGATTCTGAGGAGCAAGTGACGGGCCAGCGACACTAACTCTGCACGTTCCTGCACCGTCTGGCATGAGCGCCCATCAGAGAGCAGTGAGTGCTTTGGATGCGCTCATTCATAATCCGAAACAGATCTAGCGTCTTGGCCATAATTTGGCTTTAGTTTCTTTTTCTTTTTTTAAAAGATTTTATTTATTTATTTTTATAGAGGGGAAGGGAGAAAGAGAGGAAGAGAAAACAGCAATGTGTGGTTGCCTCTTGGGCACCCCCTACTGGGGACCTGGCCAAGAACCCAGGCACATGCCCTGACTGGGAATAGAACCAGCAACCCTTTGGTTCACAGGCTGGCACTCAATCCACTGAACTACAATAGCCAGGGCTTTTGGGGTTTTTTTTTTTAGCATTTATATAAGCATTGCCTTTGTATAGCCTTTTGAGCTTTTTTTTTCAGAATTTAGAATTTTTATTCTAAATATTGTAAAATTTACAATGTTTTCATTGGATATATGTTTTTAAAGAATACATATAACTAAATCTATTTTTTATTGGTTAGGTATAAAGTAACATAAATGATTTTTACCATTTTTCTGATCCAGAGCTCCGGAATAGGAGCTTTCTTTATTATAACAACTTTTTTAATGGCATAAAGTCCACTCGCACTTTTTAAGTTCTGAGAACAGACCTTCTTCTATTCATATCATTTTATTTAAAATCCCCAATAGACCCCTGAAAACAAGCAGCACTTAACGACGGCATTACACCACCAAGGCTTTGAGTGCAGGGTTTTCTGATTCATTACAGAACGCACTTTCTTTTCCTAATTGTTTCTACCACTTCAAATTATGAAGCGAGAGTATATTTAACTTCAAAGTAAGAATTAAGTTGTAAAAACAAATTAAAAAGCAATATTAAAGCATTAAGGCTGTTAGTTTGAATGAGCTGCACCCCAAGATGCTACGCACTTTTAAAAACCACAGAGTGAGCTCCTGAAAGTGCTTCCTTCACACACAATTCCACTTCGTACGTGAGAACTGCAGTTTTCGGAGAGACAGCGCCATAAGCTTTACGCACACAGCAGCATTTCACTTACCGTGGCGAATCTTGAACTCGACATTTTCTGCAATAGATACAGTGACCTGGTAAAGAAAATGGATAAGAGAAGAGATAAATTAGGAATTAAGTTCATTTCAACAGGATATTTCACTTGACGAATTCTTTTATCCCACAGATCTTTGAAATAGTTGCATTATTAGTGTGTTAAAAATGGGACTCTGTTTACAGAGAACGTTTCATACATTGTATAGTAATGATAAAAGTCTTTTTTTTAATCTGTGCCTGAGGACATTTTTTTTTCCATTAATTTTAGAGAGAAGGGAAGAGATAAAGGAGGGGGGAGAGAGAAAAACAGCGAGTGGCTGCCTCCCACAGGCGCCCAGACCAGGGGTCGAACCCAAAACCCTTCGGTTATGGGACAATGCTTCTACGCACTGAGCCACGCTGGCCAGGATGGGAGTAGTGAGAATCAACAACTTTTACAGAAAGTAATACTATACGTGCATTTCTTCCTAATTATCTACAAGAACTTCTAGAAGCCTCTTACTTTTCTCTCTTCTTGATACTTTAAAATTCAGGGGAGTCCAACCTGCAGCCCGCAGGCCCCATGCAGCCCAGGACCGCTGTGAATGCAGACCAACACAAACTCGTAAATTTACTTAAAACATTGTGAGCTTTTGTGTGTGTGTGTGATTACATGTCGCAATGTATTTAATGTGTGGCCCGAGACAACTCCTGCTCTTCCAGGGTGGCTCACAGACACCACAAGGTTGGACGTCCTGGTTTAAGTGCTGTAAAAGTGGACCAAACATTTAGAAAGGCCATTGCGATGCTACGTAGGGGGAAGTAGAAAGTCAGGGACTGGTCCACTGGCTGGACAAGCATGTCCCTTCATCAGAACTTCGCTGTATTTCCTCTGAAAGAGCTATTTTGGACTCAGAGATAAAGTGTCATTGGCATCAGTGACATTTACACAACACTGTCAAAATCCATTAGAGTCCTGCTGTCCTTGCGGTCTTCTTCCCTTCTCTATAATCGACTAGAAAAGAGAAGTCTTTCCCACTTTGTCTGCTGGTCTGCCCAGCCTGCCTGCTTTTGTTGTTCAGTCTGTTGACCAGCACCATTTGTGACTGCCTCCCTCCCCTCCCTTTGTGTCGCTACAGCCCACGGCACACAACTCTGTGTTCTCACGCTTCTGTGTTTGTGGGGCTGTCACAGGAAGCTGCCCTCACGAGGTGGTGGCCTACGAGCAAGCCACAGGCCCCTCAACCCCAGCGGTCATGGCCAAACAGGCTCCCAGAGCACGTGGAGACGCTCCATCCCTTTAAATCCCTTTTTTAAAATCCCTTTAAAGCAGGAGGAGAGAGACAGGGTGCGGTACCACAGAGGGCTGGTGCGAGTGGGAAGGGCCACACTCCGTGGATCCCCAGTTATGATGAAACATTAGTACATTCCTGTTCCCCTTCTCTCCTCTCTGCTGCAACAGCCCCCCCACTGATGGTTAGGGGAAGAGGCTGATACGAGAGCAAGGAGGTCGCGAGCCAGGGGCCAGGGACACACCCTTGCTCTGTGACGGAGGGACGGAGGTGAACACACCCCACCACAGCTTGAGCTTGCCCAGCAGCCTGCTGGCTGCAGGAGCACCAGACTATGAATGGTAGGTGGAGACCTCCCAGGCTTCTTCTTCCAGCCCTGCCCCCACCATACACACGCCCTAGAGGCCCGTAGGAATAGATGCTACTGACAGGCAAGGTCAGTCCCAGCAGGGGCGGGGCACGGCCAGGGCTGTAGCCTGGTCTCCCACAGCCCTCTGCTGAATGCCAATGGCTTAGTACAGGCTGCAGGGCTGTACTCATTTGCATTCTTATCCCTGCAGGTTCCACGCAGGAAAACAGAAACCATCTGAGGAATTTTGAACAGGTAGCATTCATGGCTCCAGTCCTAGAGCTGGTAGAACAGAGGGTAGATTTATTCTCAGAGCTCCAGAGGAAACTCACAGCTTGGGGGCTCTGTCTGAGTCGGAAAGGGAAGGCAGGACCGCCAAGGAGGGGCTGCTGCAACCAGCTCTGGGGCTTTGTGAAGGGCACAGTCATTTGCCGGGACGCCAGGAGCCAGAGGAAAAGAAATGAACAATGGCTTGCCCACCTTCTCCTTGTGACTCCCTGCTTGCACCTCTACCGGAGGACACCTGACCAGGGAGACTGACGGTGGGGGATAGTTTGCAGACTGTGGGCCCAACCATCTTCACAGAGCAGAGATCGGGTGGACGGGGTCAAGGATCACAGGCACCAAACCGGCACTGCACTTAATTAGGAACAAAATAGCTTCCTCCTTTAGGTGTGAACTCTGTAACACAACCGGATGCATTTGGTCTTCGATTTTTTATGACCTGGCCAGACTGCAGGCAGGGTCTGGCAGAGTCACCGCCACTTAAGATGCTCAGTAAATATCGCTACAGTTTTGAGTGCACAAGCGCCTATTCCCATCACTGATAAATAGTTCAAATCAGTACTCACCTTACATGACTGGCAGGTAAAGCAATTTTTAGAAAGATACTTTGACTCCTATGCGCAAATTAGTATTTTCTCTTACAGTATGGGCCCTTGCACTTAACCGCTTTTTCACACAGGCCTACCATTTCTCGAGAGATTTCCAGAACTCTCTTCTGCAACTGACTTTCAGAGCTAGTTCTTGAGAAAGGCACAATGAGTAGAATCCAGTCCTGCCCATGTTGGCCTAGCCTGACCCACCAGGCTTCGATCTGGAAGCTGTAATAGTACTTGCAAAAATGAAATCCCCTCTAGAAGAATAAAGACTTGTTACTAATGCGGGTAAGTACTTGCCACAGCTTCCAATTAAACTTGAGGCAACATAATGTCTTCGCCCGCCTCTGACGCTTTGACTCTGGAATGCGATGACAAATGCGGTGGAAAACAGTGGTCATACCCTAAGGCTCCGGAAAGAAGAGCATCTCCACTCCCCGTCCCGCCCCACCAGACCCAGGTAACTCCGGGAGGCAGTGTCCTCGTCCCGGGGTTATTTCCAACTAAGACAGCTAACTGCACAAGCCCAGGAGGGAACCCCTGGCCTCTGCCCCACTGTACTACCACCCGCCCACTTCCCGGAAGGGAAGAATCCATAGAGCTTCTCCGTGGGTAGTCAGGTGTGGAGAAGAGCACAGGTACATGCTGCGCCGTTCCCCGCGGGAGAACAAGGTAAAAAAAAAAAAGCAACTCTGAAAGCACAGTAAGCCCTGCCACCGCGCATGCGCCACCAGGCGCGGTAACATCTTTTCCCTGAGGATGTTACATCCGTTCCCTGAGCCGGGCACCCTTATCACCTCCTGGAGGTTATTAACAGGCCAAGGCCTCTCAATAGACGACAATCCCGGGACCAAACCTGGCCATCTGGCTCTAGTTTGTGCTTTCTGAAAGAAACGGATATCTCATAATTTTTTGAAACGTGAGAACTGGCAACTGGGAGATTAACGGAAAGGGGAATCAAGAAATCGGCCCACACCTTCGAAACAGTGCTGCTGCACCAAGGGCATCTGACGCCCCCGGGAAGCAGACGAGCGACACGCCCGTCAGCAGGACCGCCCAGACCCGCTCCAGTCGCCTCGGTTCCGGGAGGTACACGGCTCTGCGGCCCCGCCCACGCCTCTGCGTCTCTCATTGGGCCTCTTCCTGTGGCGTAGAATTCCGGCGTCCACCGGGAGGCGGGACTTCTGGGCGCAAAGCCAATTCCGGCCGCGCCGGAAGTGCCCACGAGAGAAAGACAGTATGGTATCCGCTACCTGAAGTTCGAGGCAATTCTTGTAGCTCGCAAATTTGGGAGAAAAATCCGGCGGAGATTCATCCGCTAGTCGCCAAGTTTCCGGGGGAGTGGAAAACGGGAGTTGGGACATGGACAGCCGCTTGCAGGAGATTCGGGAGCGGCAGAAGCTACGGCGACAGCTCCTCGCGCAGCAGGTCCGCGGCTCTGGGCGGGATCGCGAGCGCGCGTGCGCGGCGCCCTCTTCCTCGCGTCCTCTCATTGCGTTCCCAACAACCCTAATCCTGCATTTCTTGCTCTCAGCTGCCGCGGCGCCCCGAAGGGCTCCCCTTCCGTGACGCGGTCCTGATGGTGATGCTAGTCCGAACGCCTAGAGTGCGGGCCAGCGCCCAGTGAGGAGGATGCGAAGCTTAGGTCTTTGTCAGTACACCACCGTGGTTTAGGGGACAAGTCACTTTCGCGATGTGGCCCCTAAATTTCTCTTCGCTGTTTCCACTGGTCTTCTGTTTCTTGCCTGTACTCGTAGCCAGCACCCCCCTCGAGGTTGTGGCTTCCTGTGAAATGGGTTTGCAGAATTTGGGGCGCGCGGAGGGTCATATCTAAAGACTGAGTTGCAGGTGGTCTTGGGTGTAAATTTTAGAGTGTCTCTTGTGTATTGATTGCAGTGTGCCGTATAGGTTACAGTGTCCACATCGTAACCCATGGGCAGCACGTGAATTCATACTCCATGTCACAACAGACCCCTGCTGTACACAGGATTATCTTCACTTAATGAATAACGACATGGAGGCCCTCGAGGTTCAGTCATTTTGGCCCGGGCTTAATCACTGCTAGGTCCGGAATTCGAACCTAGTTTGTTTCTCTAAAGCTGGTCTTCGCCGCCTGTGTGTGAGTGTGTAAGTGAAGACTTGATGAACGGAGTGCGCCCAGGACGACACAGGGGCGCAGGTCTCTGCCTAAACCAGGGGCTGGTTTCCATTTCTGTCATTCAGTGAAAGGGATGGAGGTGCTCATGGGCTTTAATGAGGCATCTACCGTTGTTTTTCTTTTCAGTAGTAAATACTGGTTTTAGTAAAAGGAAATCTGAAACCTCTCCTCTTTTGTGACCTTATGAAAAGACTTACGATATAGTGTTAACAGTGTGTTCATTTGGAGTCATCTCTGCTCCTGTCCCAGTGACGTTTTGGTCTTGGACAAATCAGGTATCTTTCCTAAGCCCTTTTCTCAGTATGTAACATGTTATCTTCAAGTAGCGTCTTGTTGCCACCAAGTAGAGTTCTTACACTTTAACTTGAATTCAAACTCTGGCTCAAAACACATGATACCCCAGTTATGTGTTCAGGGTCTTGCTCTGTGCCGGGGGCTTTAGAAAGTATTGCAGTTCGGCGATGACCAGCAGCTAGCCCGGACCCTGGAAAACGCGAACACAGTGCATAAAACTCTATGGCTGCCACTTCCAAAGCCCCTTCTGCGTGTCAGACTCTGCTGAGCTTTTTCCGTAGGTTCTCTTCAATCGTACAGATACTGCCTGTGTCTTATAGATGAAGAAAATAAAGCTCAAAGAATTTGTTGTGTGCTCAAACCCACAACTTTGCAAGCTGCAATTTCAGGCCCTTCGTGCTTTTTCCATGACATCTGTGTAGGTAGGTGGGAACCATCCTCCTAAGTGAGGATGTCCAGTAGAATCAGTGAGAGGTTCCACTTCCCCACTGATCTCACCCTTCCTTTCTCTACTGTTCTCTATATGCACAAGACAGAACGAACACAGGTTGTGCAATACATACGCTGTGGTGGTGCTAAAGCTGACCTTTCTGTCTGACCTGTGTCTGTCCTCTGACGTAGCCCAGCTCAAATGAAGTGTGAAACCTTCCTGACCTTTGTACTTTAGACTCTTGCTCTGGGCTTTCACTGTTGAGTCCACTGCCAGGCCTTCTTTATTACCGCACAGCATATGAACAGTTTGAGTGGGAAGTCTGCATTGAACTCCTGTTGGGTTTGCCTTCTCCCTTAACTGCTCCTCGTCCAGAGTAAGCTTTCACTGCGCATTTGTCTCTTGACTCCGCACAGTGGAGCACAGCTCTGCGCACACAGTTGTCGAGGTTTGAGTTTGTCTGCCCAGTGGGTGTCACGTGCACGTGCAGACCCAGCCTGTGACGGAGGCTGTTTTGGGGCCACCAACAGTTTACACCTGCTCTTTATTTAACTCGTAGCTTTGTTTCAGAAAATCGCTACTTTCAGGTATTCAAGTAATATATTTAGTGCTACCATTAATAGGAAACCTGATATTAATTCAGCAATTCCACAATTTTAAAATATTTTTGGAGCATGAGAAGACGATTACATTTGTAAGTGGAATTTTGATTTAAAGCCTTTCTCTTGAAATACATTGTTTTCTGACTTAGCCCCTAGCAGGAAACTTCATTGGTTCCTTTGCATCCGTCCTGAACATGTGCCCTGAGTCAGACACTTGCTGCTGCGCACACAACTATCAGAGCCCTTCCTCTCTCGAGGGCACCTCGCCAGTGGGGGAGGCGTGAGGAGAAGGGAACCCACGAGATGACTGGGATCCTGGAAGAGACCATGCAGCAGTGTAAATGGGGAGCGAACAGAAGTGAGACACACAGTCACTGACGGCACTGTTAGGTGCTGTGACCTGAACGAGAAAAGGCGGGACAAAGGAGAACTGTGGGACGTGCCCACTCATTCCACAGACAGTGTTCCTGGAGGCCTCTCCGCGTGCACTCACCTGTGCGTGAAAGAGGAGCGGGCAGAGGGAAGGTTAGAAACAGGCCAGCTGTCTCCCCTGGGAATCGCTCCCTCCCCCACCCCCAGCAGGGAGGACGGGCGCCTGGAAGGTCTCGTGGACAGATCTACAGTTTAAAGAGCAGAGCTAACGCAGGGGCCACCTCGGCAGCCCTCCCGGTCTGAGACCAAGGCTGGGGGCATGTGGCCCTCGCGTTCCGGGTACCTCCCCTTTTGTTTGTGGAAGGGACTGTTTTCCGTAGGTTTGCTCTCAGCCTTCTACTTGGTCACAGGGGATGGTGCTCGTGGCCTGTCAGTTGCCGTCTGCACCCCTGGTTAATTCTCAGAATCTTGAAGATTCTGAGAATTAATCTCACTCCACGCAGTGCCGGCCTTGTCTCAGCCATCCGTCCACAGTTGTGTTTCACAAAATTCCCCCAACTGCCTCTCAGAATCTGCATTTTCATTTTTAAGGAATCGGTAAAGCCCTCTGTTGTGCCTCTAGTCATTACATAAAGACTGGGCTTGAATAAAAGTTGAAGAATTTTTATTACAGCGCGGGATAAATGGGCACTCGCTGATGTGTGACTCGCTGGATGCAAAGTGTTTAACATAGTGCCGGCCACACTATAAAGAGTATGTTAGCTTTTTTGTTATTGCAACTATTACTAAGTCATATTTTATTTGCTTGGAAAGGAAAAGATGGGCAAAGTGAAGTCTTACTTTCAACTATAACTAAAAGCATAAAATGCCGACCGATCCCATTTCTGGCTTCTGCCCTGCACAGCTGGGGGCCGAAAGTGCGGACCGCATCGGCGCAGTGTTAAACAGCAAGGACGAGCAGAGAGAGATCGCGGAGACTCGGGAGACGTGCAGGTGGGTCCCACCGCTCACTTGCTCGCTCACTCACTGACCTGCAAATCCTGTGAAAGGGCTGTTGTTTTAACAGGCAAGTAAGCCTAAGTATGAAGTGTGTTACGAAAGCACCAACATAGAGATTTCAGACCTATTGGTTTTTATTGCTAGTTCAGGAGTGATGGGAGTCTTTCGCACGTAGCAGTGAGGAAATGGAACACTAAGGATTAGCTCAGATACCACGAGTAAATAATTGTTTCTTAAATTCCTATGAAAGAAAACAGACTTTACCCTCACAGAGGTGATTATTTGGCAGTTCATGAGGCGTTTCAGAGTTGTTCAGTATTCTGTATCAGCTTGAGCCCTGGTTTTGCTGTAACAGGTTCCAGCACAGGAGGCCCTTTTTGCCGTGTGTCCGCATCCACAGCCTCCATTCTTACTCCGTTGCTTCCCAGTAGAAACATGGACGGAGGCACCCATCCGGCTGTGTCGCTCTGTAGCTGACTTGTGAACTGGCGAACAGATGCTGTTTAATCGGGAAGTTTGCTGTGTTCTGTTTTGTTGTCGTATTTAACGCTGTTAACAGAAGCTCCTGCACGTCTGGTCCGGACTCGCGTGTGACGCTTCAGTTTTCGTTCTCAGGGCTTCCTACGACACGCCTGTTGCGAGTGCAAAGCGCAAGTGTCCGGACGAAGGGGAGGCGGATGAAGACAAAACAGAAGAGTATAAGGCAAGTAGAGAGTGGGGCCGTTTCACTGTCAAGAAGTCCTTGCAGTGACGCAGTCTCACCCAGGAAAACAGACAGAAAGCTGAACGTTAAAGGGCCTGGAAGCACCGTCGCAGTGTAATGCACGCGTGGGCAGTGGAGCACGTGGGGGCCCAGCCGAACTGGACCTTTACGCCGCTTCACGCGCTTCAACACGGCTCCTGTGGGTGCGGTTCGGTGATGCCGGTAAAGCGCCCGGTGCGCCGCCTGGTGAGCACCAGCAGTGCTGCTCTTTGGTGACAGTTTGGGGGCCAGTGTGTCAGAAACGGGGTGATCGGACCAGATTTTGAAGGGTTGTGCTGCTGTCTTTTTTGATTCGTGTTCACCGTGAAGAATATGGGGCAGTCCAATTAAAATGTTGGGAAAACTCATGTGCTAGGAAGCCGAATAGAAGTATTTCTGAAAGAAGCCCAAGAAGATACTCGCCTTCCGAATTTGTCATTGCGATATTTAGTTGAAAAGAAGGCATTGTGCTAGAAACCCTATTTCTGTCTTTTGAAGTTCATTGTCGTGTAACTGCATTTAAGAGAAGGGAAGCCTGGCCTCAGTGAGTCTCTGGGGGGTTTGGCAGCGCAGACACCTGCTGCGGACTCTGTCCTGTCTGCCGAGTGTGACGTGCGCCCACGCGCGGCCCGGGCGTTTGGGGTCGCTCCAGGCCAGACCCTGTGCAGCGCCCTGTGGTTTGGCATTTGGACTCGAGGGAACACTTCTGTCTGTTTAAGTCTGGTAGAAGTAAAGTTGGCCCGTTGGTGGTTATAGCTTCCGATTCAAGCTAAATTCTAATATTTATTGTGTTACATTTGAGGTTAAAGAATTCTAGACAATTTGATCGACAGTAGTTAGGGACAGTTATTGATGAAAAAGAAATGAAAGTTTTTATTTTACTTGTGAAAATAATCTAGTTCAATCTAATGATGAGAAAGCAAAGATTTTAATGTTTGACTTTAATGGTAATTTGAAAAATGTATTATCCACTAGGGAAATAAAATATTTACATTGAGTCCTAATCAAGATGTAACGCTATGTAAACAATTTGTAACCACGCACAAAATGTCTGCTTGGCCTTCCAAGGACGAGCTGGAAACGCAGCAGGAAGAAGAGAACCTGCCCTATGAGGAGGAAATCTACAAAGACTCCAGCACCTTCCTTAAGGTGGGCCAGGGACTCCCAGGTGCCACCACTTTTCCCAGTGCAGCTCTGTGACCGAAAAGACTTTAAATACCCATTTGTTTCAAGATGTTTTTAGTTATTAAAACATCATTATTATAAAGACTATTTAAAATTATCCATGAGATAGTCTTGTGGTCCTTGGCTCTGTAGGGTAAGCCAGTGTATTCATGTCTGTGGCTGCTGAGTAGCAGTCCTCTCGTGGGAGTTGTGGCTTTTACTTTGTGAATGAACTTACTTCACGTGGCCTCCCACTTAAAGGCAAAGCCCGGCCAGTGTCGGAGTGCGTGCTTTGATTTCATTTTGGTCCTTTTTCAGGGAACACAGAGTCTGAACCCCCACAATGACTACTGCCAGCACTTCGTGGACACGGGACACAGGCCCCAGAACTTCATCAGGGACGTAGGTGCGTGGGCCTGCCGGGAACGCGCTGCGCTCGCTCCTGCCTCTGTGTGTCTGGTTTGTTCGCTGGTGGATTGCCTCTGGGTGGGGGCCCGTGAGCACTGGCCTCCTTCACAGGGCCCCGCCCCTCCCTGTGAGGTCATCGGCAGTGACCTCTGCTCTGTTTCATCTCCACCAGATTTTGTCTCCTCCTCTACCTAACTATAAAACAGGAAAACACCGTCATTTTTACTTGATTTTTTTCATCTAAATGAAAAGGAGGAAAGCGAAAGCGTGTGAGAAAGGCAGTTTTTGCCTTTCACAAGAAAAGAATGATCAAACTTGACTTTATGAGCAGATTACTTAAATTAATAGGAGAAATGGTCCAGTGACTCGAAGTTGGCCTTGGAACATCTGGATTATTTATCGGCCTATGGCATGAGGGTTGCTGTATATGAAATCTGTGTATGAAATGTTTAGAATTATCTGCTCAGAGTTATCTTTCTTAAAGGGACATGAGAGGAAAGTGAGGGGTGCGTGGCACTCTGTTCTCGGAGCACAGAACTTAACCTTCCAGCTCGCGGCAGCAGTCGCAGGTGCCGATGTGCAGAACCGCTGTCTCCCTCAGGTCTGGCCGATAGGTTCGAAGAGTACCCGAAGCTGAGGGAGCTCATCAGACTGAAGGACGAGCTGATAGCCAAGTCCAACACCCCTCCGATGTAAGCGGCTTTTCAAGTTACTTTTGGTCCCGACTCAGGCTTAAATGCTACCTCTTCATCTGCTCACTTTCCTGTTCAAAAGTTACCCAGCACCTGTGGAAGGTTACCACAATCCCGTATTTCTTCTTTATAATATATCTGTAGGAAAACATACCAGTTCGAAACTCCCATGCCAAGGACACAGTAGGTTCTCATGTAGTTTGTTTTCAGTTTTTCAGATAATTTACTTAGAGTATCTTTAAATTCTTTTTGTTAGAAAATCATATTTATTATGTTCTTGAATTTAGATGAAATTTTTAAAATAACTTTTCTTCTCAAAAAGTTATTTATTAAAGAAAGTTTAGACAACTTAGATGAGGGAAAAGAAGAAAGTGAAAATTAATTAAAACTCAGTGTCCGGGGCTTCTATTCCTAACATTCTGGGGATATGGAAATTCATTTTAACCTTTGCCAGAAAAAACGCTTTCCCTAAAAACATGTCTGAGGTCTTCGAAGTTAGAGAACCTATTTCTTTCCCATCTAGGTCACTGCGAATGTTCGTCCATTTCACGGGGTGCTGACGGCGTCCTCTCGCTGGTCAGAACCGCCACACAGGAGTCCTGAGTCTGTGGGGCAGGGCTGGCAGATTCTAATCTTCATCCTTTTTAAAAAGAAGACTGTGTTTACAGTATTTTAGACTTAAGTGTTTTGTATTCAAAACACTTTTATACTGCATGGCATAACTTTTTTGTAAAGGCTAGTGATAATTTATACTAGGTGGCCAGAAAAGACTATTAATGTGGAAAAAATAAAGATAGTTTAGAAACTGTATAGAGGCAGGGATTTAAAATTTACAGAGAAGTAGTTTTTCCAAACTGAACAACTAAAAAAGGAACGCGATATTCCTTAAAATATTCGGGTGACAATGGAAAGGGGTGGAGAGTCTCCCCACGGAGTATGGGCTGTCAGCATGAAGGCGGGAGGGGCTCACGTCCCGGGTGTGCGTGGGAGCCGAGGGCACGCTTGTCCTCCGACGGGCGTTGGTGGGTGCTCCGTCTGTGCCTCCGGCGGGCGCCCCACACGAGCACAAGGGGGCGTTCGGGGAGGGCTCCCAGCTGCGTCGTCAGAGCTTCTCAGTAACACCGGGGCCGTTTCTCTCCCTCCCACCCGGGAGGTGTGTGAGAGACCCCCGTGTCCTGTGCCGGCCTCGACAGGTACTTACAAGCAGACATAGAGGCCTTCGACATCCGAGAGCTGACCCCCAAGTTCGACGTGATCCTGCTGGAGCCCCCGCTGGAGGAGTACTACAGGGAGACAGGCATCGCCACGGGCGGGAAGCGCTGGACCTGGGACGACGTAGGTGGAGCCCACGGCCTCCCGGTGGGTGGAGGTGGCGCACCCTGAACGTAGATTTACGGTGGACTGCGGCAGAGGCCTGAGGTTCATTAAGAGACTGCGGCGCCTTCTGAGGGCAGGGGTTGCACAGGCAGTGGGTAAGCCGTCGGGCGGACGCGCCGCTGCTGTCTCAGCGTCCGGGGACGTGTAGCTCGCAGAGTCGGAAGTCGGCGGCATCACCACGCTCACTCTGCGCCGGCTAAGTCTGGGGACCGTCAGAGTGTGTGCGCGTGTAGGGCCTCTGCTCTCTGAGGGCTGACTGCATGTTGGATAAATATACACAATTTCAGTATAAAGTAACTGCAGTAAACTTGTGTTTTTCTGAATAAAATTAAAGGGATAACCTCAGGGAGTTACAGAAAGTTACGTTGTTGTCGTCGGTAACAGACATGACCAGTGTTTGTTAAGCACCCCTCCGTTCCAGGCAGTGGCCGTGCTGGAGACTCGAGGGTGAATTCATTCAAGTTGGTGCTTAGATGTCATCACACTTCACTTCAGTTTTGCCCTGATTTGGGGATAACGTGACCTGTTTTCATTTCGGTTTCTTTTTTTGTGAAATGGAAAAGCTATGCTAACACCCATAGATGCGGCCTCCTGTGGACCCCCCCCCCCCGCCCACATGAAAGTCAGTGTGTGTCGGGGGGCGTGCGTGTCATCTCGTGCAGAGCAAGGAAACCAAAGAACAGGAACCCGTCACGGAACCCAGTGCAAGTTAACGCGTGTAGAGGCTGCGTCCGCTGAAAGCCCCGCTAAACCTCAGCGAGCGTGCCTAGGACGGGAGACAGATGCTCTCACGCTGTGTTCTGGTTCCTCACAGATCATGAAGCTGGAGATAGACGAGATTGCAGCCCCTCGGTCGTTCATTTTCCTCTGGTGCGGCTCCGGGGAGGGGCTGGACCTCGGGCGCGTGGTAAGAGGCGGGGGCGACATGGCTGGTGGTGGTCTCGGGTCCACATGGTGACTGACGGCTCTCGGACACTCAGGCTCAAATCACTGCCTTATAGAGCATGTAAAGGCGGAAGTGAAGTTTCACCCAGAGAAAGACATGCGGTCATTTTAAGTCTCTGAGCTGTTTGAGGTTTAGTACTACAAAAATAGCGTTCTGTAAAACTCACGTGCAAAGGACGTTTCCAGCTGGGTTCAGCCCTGTCAGCGGGTAGGAATCGAGGTGGCAGGAATCATTCTTTTTGGAGTTGCTTTGTGGCCAAGAGGGGCTGAGTGTCACCATTGAAAGCCCACTTCCTGCTACTGACGACGGGAGGTGGCATCAAAGAACTGGGACCCTCCCTGTAGCTGGAACAGCCACCGTCCCTGTGACGCCCCTCCCCCCAGGCCTGGAGAAGTTGTTTGATGCTGGCTGCTTCTCGTGAGCACTGCTTATCTCTTCCCACTGAGGGTTTTTAAACTTCACTTCCAGTGTTTACGCAAGTGGGGTTACAGGAGGTGCGAAGACATCTGTTGGATTAAAACCAACAAGAACAGTCCCGGGAAAACGAAGACTTTGGACCCGAAGGCCGTCTTCCAGAGAACGAAGGTGGGTGGTTATCTGTGTTCATCGCGTCCTCTCAGTCTGCGTCTCGGGTGGTTTTCCCCGTTTCCCGAACGACTGCGTGCTGGCCGAGCGAGCGTCAGGGCCGTGGGTCCACGTGGGTCCCCGCCCTGCAGCCGCCCCACAGTGCGGGCTTGTCCTGGGCTGCGGCCCGACACCCGCCACTCGTGGCGCAGTAGCTGTGGGTCCGCTCACCTGCTGCCACTGCACAGGGTCGCTAGGGGCTTGTTGGCCCCCACACTGGTCTGCTTCAGAGCTGGGAGTTTGTGCTGCTGGATCCCGTCACCCATGTCCCCACCCCACCCCACGCCTCGGGCGACCACCAGCTTGATCTATGTCTGAGCGCATTTCTGCTCAGTGCGACCGTTCAGATTCCACACGTCAGCGATGCCACGTGGCCCTCCTCTTAGCCCAGTTCATCTCGCTTGGCCTCAGCCCTCCCCGGCCCGTCCGTGTTGTTGCAGATGTCGAGGTCGCACCCTCCACTGTGTGCACCCCACACGTCGGCCTTTAGGGATTCTGTCCCCCAGGGTCGCACTTTCCAGGGGCCACAGGCGGGGTTCCGTCTGGGGCTGCTGGGTCCTGGAAGCCAGTGAGAGATCGTTCTGTGTCGGCCATACTCCTGCTGGGCAGGTTCAGGAGAGAAGGTCTGAAAACAAAGAAAACGGTGGCATTTTCACGGTCACTTAAGTATTCGGAAGCCCATAGCCGTTCTTGAAGCCCTACCTCCACATCAGAAGGCTGGCTCCTTGTGTGTGGTTTTGTCTTGGGTGGCCGAGGCCAGTACAGCATTACTGGGAGGTTCCAAGGTCAAGGTCCTGTTCCCGTAACCAGTGGGAACAGGACGTGGTGCAGTTTTGGCCCTTGACGCGGGTCCGCAGTGTGCGGGCCCCACGGCCGTGATCTCCCTGCAGCCAGGAACCCTGGTTTTCCCCGGGGCTGCCCACACACCCCGGGGCGTGAGAGCCGTCCCGGCCTTGGGAGTAGGTGTGGGTGGAAGAGCCTCACCGGCCGTCGTTGCTGCCGCGCAGGAGCACTGCCTGATGGGCATCAAGGGCACGGTGAAGCGCAGCACGGACGGGGACTTCATCCACGCCAACGTGGACATCGACCTGATCATCACGGAGGAGCCGGAGATCGGCAACATCGAGAAGCCCGTGGAGATCTTCCACATCATCGAGCACTTCTGCCTGGGGAGGCGGCGCCTCCATCTGTTCGGAAGAGACAGCACCATCCGGCCAGGTAGGGCTTCGGGGAAAGCGGGGTGCGTCGTGGGGCCCTGGGACACCATTGCGGTCTCACGCGTAGAAGGCAGAGGTCGTCCATCCGCTTCCTCCCGCCCAGCACCCCAGCTCTCGGGGGCCGTCGTGCTGAACAGAGGGGTGCGCAGGGGAGTGGCTGGCCAGCCCTGGGGAAAGCACCACACCTGCAGGACACGGGTCTGGGCTTTGATGGAACCTGAAGCTCCTGGCTTATTCCGTCACGTGGCTGGTGTGGCTTTTCAAAGCGTCACTGGCTGCTTAAAGAAGACAACGGTAAGAGTGACAGGCCAGGCAGGACCAGGGCTCTGCTGTAGGGCCGGCTTCTGCTAAGGAAGGGTTGGGGTAGCCTTGAGGCTGTGGGCAGAGATGGGTTCAGATTTCTCAGAGGAGAGCCCAGTTCTTGGAGATTCCTTGCACTGAAGGCCCTGTCTCTTGGGCTGTGCAGAGGTGCACTCCCAGCGTCCCTTAGAAGAACCAGCGCACCTGGGAGCCCCAAAGCGTGGTGTCCACTGAGCACTCGGCTTCTTGTGGGTCCTCCCGTCCCAGGGACAGTTCCATCCACCCAAGGCCATCCTCGCAGCGGGCAGCACCGTCCAGCAGAGTGGCGACGGGAGCCCTGCGGTGGAGGTTGGGCTCCTGGTAGGGACGTGGGCTCGGCTCTCGGCTGATGGGCTGGGAACAGATGGTCACGGGCGTGGAGGGGACGGGTGCTGTTGGGGTCACGAACCGTGGCTGCCGCGTTAGGTCAGGCTCCTTCTGAAGGGCCCCCGGTGCCAGGCTTGGCGCTGTCCAGAAAGCACCGGGGTGCACAGAGGAGGGGCGTGTGGGGCCTTGCTTCGGGCTCCCACGTTCTGAGGGGCAGGGCGGGGGTGGACAGCAGGGTGGGCACATCTGGCCGCCCTGCCTGGGGGGAGGGAGGGGCCCAGCCCAGTGCCCGCGCAGCTTGAATCAGAAGAGGAGGCTCCATGTCCCCAGGTGGGAAGGCTGCGTGGAACTGAGTTCTCGCTGGGCCGGAGCTCAGTGCGGTGGAGAGCGTCTTCCTGGTGCGGTTCTCCTGGAGCCGGAGCGGGGCCGCGGTGGTGTGGGAGGCAGGTCCCAAAAGTTAGCCTAAGGGGAGAGGCTGCATACACGCGTGGCTCTCCGTGAGGACAGTCGGTGTCGGGAGAGCGGCGGGGACACCCCAGAGAGGGCTCGGACGGTGTGGAATGCCACCTGACGGTCTGGGAGGGGGCTGAACGGAAAGGTCACCCTCGCTCTCCTGTTCCAGGCTGGCTCACGGTGGGGCCGACGCTGACCAACAGCAACTACAACGCGGAGACGTACGCGTCCTACTTCAGCGCCCCCAACTCCTACCTGACGGGGTGCACAGAGGAGATCGAGAGGCTGCGCCCCAAGTCGCCTCCTCCCAAGTCCAAATCCGACCGGGGCGGCGGCGCCCCCAGGGGCGGGGGCAGAGGGGGGACTTCTGCCGGCCGGGGCCGTGAGCGGAACCGATCCAACTTCCGAGGGGAGAGGGGCGGCTTCCGGGGTGGGCGAGGAGGTGCCCACCGGGGCGGCTTCCCACCCCGGTGACCTTGATGCCTGAGTCTGGGAGGCCACGTGCCGCCTCCTGGGTGCAGCCAGACCCCCCCTCCAGGGGGCCTCGTTGGGCCCCAGCTCGCCCTTGGCCTTCGCCGCCCTCCCCAGGGTTGCCCCACTCTGCCCAGTCCCACCCGGGGTGAACGCCCGTCCGGCCTCTTGTCCTGTGCGTGGAACCAGATGGGACGGAGTGACACAGACGCCTCCATGTTCCCACACCGAGCCCGTCCTCAGAGACCAGGCCGCTGCTTGTTGGAGCAGTTGAGGCGAGCAGGGAGGGACCCAGTCCGGAGCCGCCGTGGGGCTCCCGGGGGAGCTGCTGGCGGGGTTCTGATGTTTTCTACTACCGTGACTAAAAAGGTACTTTTTAAAAATCCTAGTCTGCGATTCAGTTACATAACCCTAGAAACTGATCGTCAGCTCCCAGATCTGCGCACAGCGGGTGGCCAAAGAGGGAGAGCCGGGTAAGCGGACTTGGGAGAGACTCACCGTGACCCTGGCTGCGTAGCTGCAGTGACCCTGCCCGGGGGGACCCTGAGAGGCCGGCGGGACACGGGTGCGAGTGCCCCTGCTCAGGGGGACGTGGACTGACCCCCAGGCAGTGCCCTCGGCACAGCGAGGGGAGCGGGGGCAGCACGGGGCCCCTGGCCCTCCGGTGCCGGGTTCCAGCGTCCAAAGGGCGTCCTCAGCAGCGAGGAGGTGGCACAACCTACGACGTCTCTGGAGAAAGCTGAGCATGGAACTGGCGACCTGGGCAGGACCCTGGACTTGGAAGATGCTGTGCTCGCGCTGGGGGCAGGCCCCAGGTCCCGTCTGGAGCTCGGGCGGTGGGCGAGTTTCAGGGCCGGAGCAGCACCACCGTTCCTGACAAGCACTTTCCACTCGGGGTGTGGCTTTCCTGATGGAACCGGGACCTCTGAGCCCTGCTAGTTGGTTCCGTGTGGTTGGATTCACCATGGTCTGCAGGTGAGGGCGGGCAGAGACTGGGCCGTCCCCCAGTCTATGGCGCGTGTCAGTGACAGCCGGTCATCCCCAGCGTCGCCCAGTGTGAGGACAAGGACTGAGGCGCAGGGAGTGGCTGAGGCCTCCAAGCCCACAGTGGGGGGGGTGACCAGCTGGGCCCACAGCCCTACATGGCATGGGCAGCCTTTGACGCATTTCTGGGTGAAGTCGTGACACGTCACGGTCAGGGGGAGGTTTTCCTGAAACCACAGGTTCAGCTTCAGTGAGGACAAGTGACCTGGACAGACAGTTGTCAGAGTCGATCTGGGAAGGAGGAGCGCGGAGAGATGTCCTGTTGCCCAGCGGGGTCCTTAGCAATACCAGCAAGGAGGGGCCGCCCCACGGGCAGGACAGTGCAGGTGGCCCGTGCCACGCACCCAGCCGAGCCAGGCGGCTCTGCCTTGTGCACCTGCCGCGTCACTCGGGGTGTGGACGCAGAGTGTGGACGCGGGGTGAGGAGCGGCCTCTCTGGGTTGGAGGGTCAGGAGTCAGGCCCCCACGTGGAGAGCAGGTGAGCGGTGGCTGGAAAGAAGGCAGAGCCTGGAACTGTCCCCAGGACGGCCTGATGTGCCATCTCGTTTTCCCTGTAAAGATTCTTTACTTTTAGACAGAGGGGAAGGAGAGAGGGAGGGAGAGAAACATCAGTGTGTGGCTGTCCCTCACATGCTCCCTGCTGGGGTCCTGGCCCGCAGCCCAGGCCTGTGCCCTGACGGGGAATCGAACCAGTGACCTTTCGGTTTGCAAGCTAGTGCTCAATCCACTGAGCCGCACCAGCGGGGCCCAGTGTCACTTTGACAAGGAGCCTTTACACCCGAGGGCAGGTTTGCAGTGAGCAGGGACTCGCTCCTCCGACCTCTGGATGGTTAACTGGCATTACATTTGTGTGCGTGTTCACGGAGCTGTCTGGGGGTCTCCACAAGGGGTTTCAGTTGCTTCACTTACTGACTCCATGTTGGGGACAGACACCAGGAATTCTGGAGTGACCCCACGTGTGTCCTACGTTCCAAAAGCTCCAGGGCAAGCACCCCAACATCTCACACAATCACCGATCTGGCAGTTCTAGGGCAGACGCCTGACCGGCCCCAGTGCCCCCAGACGGCGGGCTGTGGAGGCCCCCAGCCTCAGTCCCTTGACTTGCTGTCACTGCAAACACTGAGGGGGGTGGAGCCGGGGGGGCTCCCAGACCGAAACTCCACTGACCGGTTGGGTCCGTGGAGACGCAGTCAGGGTGCAGAATGGCCCCGCCGATGGCACCCAGGGTGAGGGGACAGAACGTGGTTTGGGCGTGGGGTCAGGGTGGCAGCGGCTGTGTGCCCCTTTGGCCTGGACCAGCTCGGTGGCAGCGGACTGCTCTGAGCCTCCATCAGGTGTGGAGTTCGAGCCATGGAAGCTTCGACTGCCCTCTGCTCTTCCTCCGCGGTGCCCGTGGGGCCACCCACCACCAGTTGTCAGTGGGCCGAGGAAGGAGCTGGGTGAGCGCCGTGACCACCCAGCCTTGTCTCACAGCCGCGGCGGTGGGGGGGTGTGTCCTCTCGTGCGCCCTGATTGTTAAGTTAGGGCTTTCCGGTCGGTCACAGCGGCTTCCTCTAAAACCCACCGTGTGCCCATCCTGCACCTGAAACTCCGAGGTTTTTGACAGACGGAGGGGCAGATGCAGCCCCAGACCTTAGTGGTTTGTGCCCTGTGGTCGTTTCTGACCTGACAGTGCGGTGGCCCCGCTGGGACTCGCCAGGGCCCCTTGATGGAGCTTGTCATGCTCGTGAGCCCTGAGAACCACCTGTGCTCACAAGCAAGACCTCCCTTTCGAATGGCCCTGCCTCAGGGGCCCAGGGGGCACTCCGCCCAGCCTGTCTTTGATGTTCGCTGGCAGGGACTAAGCTTGAGCTTGGCCAACCAGTGCACGGGACGGGCTTTGGCACCATGCATCTGGGAGTTCCTGGATGAGCCACTGAGCTCTGGCGGAGCGCCCGTCACGTTCCCCACTGCCGGCTTCAGGCCCACAGGGTGAACTGCGACCCTGAGCCCCGGCAGCCCCTCCCGGGGCTCTGCCCTGCACTGGACAGGACCCTAACACGGGCGGGTGCTCTGCCTCCGACCAGAGTGGTGCCAGCGAACATGAGGTCACACTACGTGGGTTTCTCCAAGCACACTCCTAAATGACAGAGATGCACAGTGGGGCACACCCGCAGGAGCTAAGGGCGCAGGGCCCGCCATGGAGCCAGCGGGAGCCGGCTGCGCGGCGGCCTGGCGTCTTGGAGACTCCTTTCGTTTGCGCATGGAAGGCGGGACCAGCGGCTTGCCCACTTACCTCGTCTGCAGGCTGGTCTCCCTGGGACGGGCTTGCTCAGCTCCTCTCTGACCCCGAGCGCCGCCGTCACCAGGTGGGCTTGAGCCCCGGGCCTGCAGACCCGCACCAGGTGGGGCCCGAGATCTCGCGTCCTGGAGCACGTGGGCTCGTCAGCTCCAGTCTGGTGGCTGGAGGGAAGGGGGTGAGTCTGATGTTTTGGGGGCATCTCCCTACATTTTTTGCCTTTCAGGGAACTAAAATTAATTTTTCATGGCTTAAAGTTAACTTTGCTCATTAAGTACCACATGCATATTTTCAATGCTGCCCTATAAATACAGTGTAGCCAAATTCACTAAAAGAAAGGGAGTAGTTTCTCAGGGGGCCAGGACACCATCACCTCCGAGCGCGAGTTATGAGTGTTGAGTGGGGACTCTGGAGCCCAGGACGGCAGCCGTGGGCGAGCACCCCCAGGGACGCGCCTGAGCTGCCCACCGGGCGGCAGGGAGGGCACGCAGTGCTGGGTGGCCACACTCTGCTGCCCCTCTGGGTGCTCTTGTCTCTAAATGGGGGGCTAGGAAGTCAAGGGCACCTCTGGTCAGAGGCCCAGGTTAGCAGTTCACAGTGCTTGCACACTCGACACCAGGCCATCACTCAGGTGCCTTGTGGCACTTGCCGTCCTCCTAGAGGGGCGCTTCCAATTCCGGGGTCTGCCGAGGCTCAGACACGCTGCCGCACGGACGCCCGGCCTGTGTGGCTGTCCAGAGGGTGATTAGTTAGATCCCTGTCCTGTTCCTCTGAGGCTGTGGGTTCGATTCCCGGTCAGGGCACATGCAGCAGGAAGTGAACAACCCATTTCCCTTCCTCTCTTCCCTACTTCCTCTCCCTGGAAACTTAACTTTTTACAGAAGATTAGAGCTTACTTTTCTACTGTTCTGTCTTACTGAAGTAAAATTTCTAAGCATGATTAAGAATATTGTATTTATGAAAATAATTTCAAAGCAAAATTTAAAAAACTCTAAGCTCAGATATCAGCTTGTCAGCCAACTCCCTGCAGTTTAAATCCCACCGCCTCCCACGTGTGGGACAGAGAAACGCTTCCATCTGACGGAACATCCAAACAGGGACGGCACCATCCCTAACAGTGCCCTGTCACTCGGGGAGACTGTGGGGTGAGGTGCGGCCCCCACAGACCCAAGCCCTCCCGAGCCGAGGCCCGGCTCACCGAAAGCACGAGCCCACCTGCAGAGCGAGCGCGGGACGGGCTTTATTGATAGCGGCTGAGGTCCATGACATACAGGTGAGGACCTTCCCAATTGTACAGAGAGCCATTGAGAAAAAAAATGCAGAACGAGTATCGATCTACCAAAGAGATTCCGGGGTCGTTAAAAGCCTGCCACGCAAACCTCAGGTTGACAAGGGTGTTTGGCGGGGTTACATGATTTTAAAAACAATGTAAAAATTACGTTTTTTTCCCTCACCGAAAATGGGAGAGGAATCCAGAAAACTTCACCCCAAATCTATACATTTTGAAAAATAATTTATATGCCCAGCACGAAGAAAGAGATCTGGGAATGTTTCCAGTCTGCAGACGGCCCTGGTGCGGGGGCAGCGGCCCCTCTGCTGGCTGGAGCCCTGAGCACCAACGGGAGGCTAAGGCCGGCCTGGGGAGAGCTGGGACGCAGCCGCGGTCCGGTCTGTCGCCTGGAGGAGAGGCACCGAGAAGGGGCTGGGGCCCTCAGCTGAGCAGCTGGCAGACGGCCTTGTGCACGCAGCACAGGAAGTCCACGTAGGACGAGCCCCCGTCCGGGCCCTGGTCCTCCACCAGCAGCTGCCGGAAAGCCGTCTCTGGCTGCTCTCGCTGCTTCACGATGGCGAGCTGGGAACGAGCAACGGGCGTGCTGGTTACGAGCATGTCCTGGGGGCTCGGTTCCCACGCACCCCCGTAACCCGGGTCGCGGTGTCTGCGTGAGCCGCCTTGGCCGGTGCGGGAAGTGCCGTCGCCCAGGGTGCGGGGGTGCTCCCCACGCGCTGGCCGGGGAGCCTCAGCAGGTTGCCCTGGGAAAGGCCGCACCCCGCAGCCGCCCGGCTCTGGCCGCACAATCTGCACAGCCACAGGGGGGCACACGCCGTGCACAGCCTGCCACAGCCGTGCAGGGGGCCGCATGCTGCGTGCCACACAGTCCTGGCTGCGTGGAGAGCAGCACACTGCTGACAGTCGGTGGGAGCGCAGGGACCCGGACATGAGAACGAGCTCGGCCTTCAGTAAGAAATGTGACCCAGGAAGGTTCAAGCCCGGGTAGCAGGCCTGTGAGGTGCGGGGACCGGGTCTGAGTTGGCGGAGCAGGTGCGGAGGAGGCTGCCCCTGCCCCCGGGTTCTCCAGGGCTGTGCTGTCCGGCACCGCAGTCACCGGCCACCATGGCTGTCGAGCATCTCCACGTGGCTGGTCCCAGGCGGGAGGTGCAGCCACGTGAACACACAGCGGACTCCTGAGAGTCACCGTGGAAAACAGAACCTGCCCACTGCATACCCCACTTCATGTGGGCACGAGAGCAGCCTGGATATATTAAAAGGAACTTCCTCCGTTTCAAACGGGGCATGGAGATGGGGTGCTGGGGTCTGGGGCTGGCCCAGGTGTCCCGGAGTCCGGCCCACCCTCGCTGACCCCAGTGGGTCTGGGACTATCGGACTGTGCATGCAGAGAGCGCTCAAGTGGCCCTTGGGGCTTAAGCTAACACTCTGCCACTGTGGGACCCACCATCCACACCTTGTTCTCATGCTCGTTCACCCCAGGTGTCCTCAGAGCCAGAGCTGACCCCTCCTAAGAGGGGTGGGAGGACACAGGAGGGAAGAAGGCTAGTCCCTGCAGGGAGGGGCTCCAGGCCCAAGGCTGGCTGCCTGTCAGTGGGTCACTCTCTGCAGCTGGGACGGGGCAGGGCCACCACCACATGCCCTGGAGACCCCTGGGTTCCCTTCTGCCATCTCTGTCTTGTCCTAAAACTGGCGTGAAAGCTGTTCTGGAAAGTTCCGTGTTCCTGACATCCCAGATACTGTAAGGCTCGTCACTGGTCCAGTTCACCTGTCCTCTGAAGCAGATGTTTGCCCCGTCCCAGGTGAGAGCACTACTTAGGCTGGCAGCGCACTGACGTTGAGGACAGTGGCCCCGTTCTGTCCTGGGCCTGCAGAGGCTGCGCCCAGGTGGCGGCAGGCACCCGGGCGGGCCGTCTCAGAGGCCAGTGAACTCTCAGCCCTACACACGTGTAGGACGTGCGCTGAAGGGTCTGTGACGAAATGTGAAGGGACACACAGGAGCACACTCTTACCCGCATTGAATACGGCCTCTTGTGCTGGAGGATGCCCATGATGATTCTGAGCGTCTGCGAGTGCGGGCTCCCCACCTCGGGCAGCGCAGTCTGCGAGGAAGAAAACGTCCACTGTAGCGCAGTGTGCAACACTGGGTAGAAGCAGCCGTGAGTGTTGGAAGGTCAAGGTTAAGAAACGCCCTCTGAACCACGTGTTTGACTCTGGACCCAGTTCAATCACCCAAACCTGGAGAACTTGGAGACACGGCCCCTTCCCACTGGCCGCATCCCCACCAGCAGGCTGCACCGTGAACACAGACGCCCCCTCTGTGCCCGGGGCTGCCCGCTGCCCCCAACCTTGCACAGCCGGCTGAGTCCAGGCAGAGGGTGGCCCGCTGCCAGGCTGTGCTGGGAGCAGGGAGGGCACACTCCCCCTGACCCCCTCGCCCTGTGGGGGTCCCTGCAGGACCCTGAAGCATTAGGTTTGGGGGACGCCGCCCAAGTGCCACTCACCGTTCCATATCAGAACCCAGTGCTGGCCCCCCAAGGGGATGCCGGCCCCTTGGATTTCCCTGCCATCCAGTTAACATCCACACAAGACACTGTCCCACCACACTCGGCCTGGGGATGCGAGGACCCTGGTGCCCTGCCGGGTCACTCCCTGCTCAGCGCAGCCCCCAGAGTGAGGCCTCGTTGGCTGCTGGGAAGGCGAGCGGGAGCTGCAGTCACACGTCTCAGGACGAGGCCTTGGCCCACGTCTCCACGGCAGCCGTTAAAAGGGCAGAAACACGCCTCTTACACGCCCTGTCCGCCTCCCGCGGGGCTCTCCAACGGGGGCACGGGGCCTCTGGTGTGGCGAGCTGTGCCTAGCAGGCACACTTCCCGCTCGTGGCTCCGAGTGCCCGGTGCCTCCTCGGAGAGCAGCGTTTGGCTTGTCCTTTTGCTGAAGTTCCTCCGGAGAAGGCCGGAGAGAAGCCCGGGCGGGGGGACGGCTGCTCGTACATGGTGTCTGTGGCGCACGGGTAGGCAGCCGTGCAAATGGAGGGCAGGGCACCGCCTCAAGTATCACAGACAGGCTCCTGAGACGGGTCGTTCTTTGCCATTGAATTCTGATTTTTTAAAATTGCATTTTTAATCATTCCTTCATTCCAACTGCAAGCAGACTCCTCACCATTTGTAAATCTTCATTTTCATCTTCACACAAGCCTCTTCACGGGACGTGAGCAGACTCGGGTGCATTAAAAACGGGCTTCTGACGTTGGTAATGGGCACGCAGCGATCTAGACCAGCCGCCTGCCCTTGCAGCCTCGCCCTCCCTCTGAGATGCCAGGAGGCGTCTGCCTTCCAACCGGAGATGGGGACGCGCAGCCGCCGGCCGGCACGCAGGTGGCCTCCGGGGAGAGTGGTCGCCCCGCCCCACTGAGAAGCCTCGGAGGTCAGTGCCAAGTGGGGAAGGCGGCCGTGGGCGGCACGGCCTGCAGGTTCCCGGCAAACGCCGGTTCTCCCGGTGCACGTCCTGGTCACCTGCCTTCACTCCCATCCAAGCACAACACTCTCGAGTGGCGGCGGGAGTGGAGGGCCACCCAGTCCAGTCTGTTCTTGCAGGAACTTCATTCTGCAGGTCACTGACCAGACCTGTCTGCAGTCCGGGTGAGAGGCCTCCACCCTCTGCTGACCCTGCCGCCCAGCCCTGGCCGGAGTCCAGTCTGCCCGGGCCACGCCCACCCGGGAGAGTGTCCCCAGACCCCAGGGCCCAATCCCTGCCCGGTGGCGACAGGTGAGTGAGATGCTGCACTGCAAGTTCCGAGACAGCGATGGGCACGCAGGGGCAGAAACGTGGGCCAGCCCCACTGTCCCTACAGCAAGCCTGCCCCAGCTCCCAGCACCGGTCACACGCAGAACGCTCTCACCCTAACATGGAGCTGCCTGCCCTCTCTCCTATGCAACACACGGTCGCCAATGAACAGAAACACAGGAGAACCTGTTTGCATGCCACAGACTCGAAGGAAAACACCCACCATGTGCGTGCTGATGTGCGCCAAAGACGGCACGTTGAAGATCCCCTGGATGAGCTCTGGCGGGCTGCTGACCCCCAGCCACAGGAACATGCTCAGACCGTTGGCCAGCAGGAAGACTCCGTCCTCTGAGAGGCGGGACTCGGAGCAGCGCACCGCGGGGGGCAGCGCCGTGCTCTTGACGTCCATCGTGTGCTGGGCGGGGGGTGGGAGAGTCAGACCCGTCCTCTCCCTCCTCCCTCCCTCCACGGCCTGTGCACATTTGGTGAGCGCCATTGCACACCAGGCCTTGGACAAGGATTCCCCCCCTTGTACACGGCTCACAGTCTTTCAGAAGAAAGAAGAAAGCATGAGCAAGCAACACGTGGAGAGCACTTGATGGTGTGAAGCGCCATGACGAGAACCAGGGGCGTGGGGCGGGCGTGCAGGTGCAGGGCGCGGAACAGCACTCAGTGGGGGGCAGTCAGTGGGGGCTGGTGGGGAAGGTGGCTTTTGCGCAGAGACCCAAGAAGACAGGAGGAGGAGCCATGGGGGTTTGGGCAGGAAGAGCATTCCGGAGGGCGCCCCCACGGCACGGCTGACCCGGCAGGAGAACAAACCGAGCGCTCACTAGGGGCAGGAGCTGCGGGTAGAAGAAGAGCTGGGAGTCGGCCACGCCCATGGTCAGGACCAGCTGCCGCTGGAAGGCCCGCTCGTCCACGGGCACGTCCGGCCTGCCCAGCAGCACGCAGCTCTTCAGCAGCGAGTTCATGTACGCGGGCAGCACCTTCATGGAGTCCGGTAAGATCAGCTGCAAAAGAGGAACGAGGCCCGCACACCCTCCGTCAGACGGGGACGCCGGGCTGAGGCTGCGGGCAGGGAGGGGCCCACAGCACAGACGTGGCCCCAGCAGCCACGGGCAGCAGCGAGGCCACCCCTGAGCCGCCCGCCACTCTGGGCTGACACCCTTCCCTGGGCGTCTCATCTGAAACGCAGGACCAGCCGTCCCTCCTCCGGGTTTGTGGGCCGTCCTGAGGTGACGGCTCGGAGAAGGTACAGTATTGCACACAGGTTGATGAAAGGGGCGGGGGGACGGGGCTGCCTACTCTGCACCACACTGTCTGCCTGCTGAGTTGGAGGTCACCGCTGCTCCTGCCCACCAGACGGCCCTTCCTTCCACTTCCCACTGAAACTCACGGTCACAAGCCTCAAACGGGGGTGAGTGCCGCCATGTCACAGGCGCACAGTAAGTGGCCCAGAGGACACCACCAGGACCCCAAGTCCCATGACGGGGCAGCGGGGAGAGGAGTGGGGGCGTCAGGAAGAGAAGCTGGAGAAAAGTGGGGCCAGAGCGAAAGCAAAGGTCTTGGCCCCTGAGGCGGGAAGACGAAGCAGCGGTGGGGGCGCCTTCCCCGCCGCCCCGCCCTGCGTGGCCAGGCTGCCCAGGGTGCGGCACAGAGGTGCGGCCACAGGAACACTCGAGACCCCAGGGGCTGAGTGCGGCCGCAGGAGACACTCCCCACATCTGGCACCACGCCCACTCGGCATCGCTCTGGGGGGAGGGGGAGTGGAAACGCCTGCCAGTGTAGTTTGATTGAAGGTGAAGAACTTGCCTCTTTTTTAAGTTTGGGATAGCAGATGTGGTCATACATTTTTTTTAAGATTTTATTTATGTATCTTCAGAGGGGAAGGGAAGGAGAGAGGGAGAGAAATATCAATGTGTGGCTGCCTCTCGTGCGTCCCCTGCTGGGAACCGGCCTGAAACCCAGGCATGTGCCCTGACTGGGAATTGAACCACCATCCTCTGGTTTGCAGGCCCGCGCTCAATCCACTGAGCTACACCAGCCAGGGCATAATTAAAAAACAAAACAAAACAAAAACAATTTGCTGTTAAGCCATTTGACTTGCCTTCTGAAGGCGCTGTGCTCTCATATATTATAATTTGGAACCGTGAGCCACTAGCTTCGATAAGAGAATCTACCTTGCTCGTGCAAATTCAAACAATCATTACAATGTTGTCTGTGGTCACACACCTCACCGAGCTTCGACCCTGTGGCCCCGGAGTGGGCGCTGCCTCCAGCCTCGTGCCCCAGACACCTCTGGCCCGCAGTCCCAACACGGAACACGGCATCTCTCCCGGGGCCCAGCTGCTGTGGCCCTGCCTGCAGGTGTCTCTGGGCTCTGGGGCGGAGCAGGGGACTTGGCTGCGTTTCTCCCAGTGAACCCCGGGGGGCGCCAGGTGAGACCCAGGCTCACAACTGCCACATCCCGTCTTTGCCCAGGTCGGGGACGTGGCCCCCAAGTTTGCTGGCATCACCTTTGCGGCGGAAGAGCTCCCGCTGGCTGAGGCTCCAGGTGCGCTCTCGGCACCCCCTCTGGCAGCGAGGACCAGAAAGGTGTCCCCTCTGCTGCTCACTGTCTTCTTTCAACTCAGATGCTGTGCACAGAAAAGTGTCACACGCTATGGCTGCGGAGAACGGGGCCTGGGTTGGCCGGACGGGGGAGAAACGCGAACGGAGGAGACGAGTCCAGCTGAGGGGGACGCAGGGAGCGCGGACTGAGGGTCAGTTCAGGGAGCGCCCGAGGTTCGAAGGACTCAAACCTCCTGGTGCCTGTCAGCTTTCAGAGCCCGAAGGACTCTGGCACTGACACATCACAATTCGTACAACACAAAGTTGTCACCGCTGTCCCTCGGCTCTGTCAGTGCGCCTGGGAAGCAGGCGCGCACGCCCATCTCACCAACACCCGACCTCCCAGGCGGCAGAGAGACTCTCATGCACCACGACCGAGCCCACAAGCGCCACCCCTCCAGGCATGCAGCCCCACACGGAGGGCACGCAGAGGCCCAGACGCAGCGTCCCCAGCTCCGGGTGGCTCACCTGGCTGGCAGCCGACGGGCTGGCGCAGTTCTTGCGGTAGCAGGCCAGCATGTGGGCGGTCTGGTTCACCAGGGCCTCCCGGACGAGCTTCAGGGGCTGCTGCAGGACCGCCTTGAACGCTGTGTGCACAGGGAGGAAGGGCGGTGCTCAGCTCCCGCCTTGAACGCCAACAGAGCACGGGCCACGGGGCAGCCGGCGGCCGGGTCAGCACGGGGGCCCGGGAGCGGTCACGCCACTGCCCGTGCTGCTCCTGACTCTGCGTGAGGCCCAGCCAGCGGTGGCCCCATCACAAAAGGCTGTGAGTGGTCCCGCTCCTCCCTGGGGGGTTAGAAACGGAACTCTGCACCCAGAGAGAGAAAGGCGGGCTCGCTGTCTTCTGACCCCCGAGCTCCTGCAGGCGGGACTGCTGCTTCTTCTAAACCTCGGTGTAGACTCCCCTCGGGATTCGGGGGAGGGAGCACTCCAGCTCTGGCCACTGCCAGTTCCCGGCTACTGGGGCTGGCATGAGGGTGCTCAGTCTACGGGAGGGGCCACCTTCGTCCACCGTCCCCAAGGGCCCGAGGGCACACTCCCCTACCCACGTGAGCCCAAGGACCACCGGGGAAGGGACTTGTGACTGAGCCTGCACATGGCGCCTGACTCAGCTGTCTCTCCATTAATGTCCCACATCCGTGGATTCAACCAGCCGTGATGTCACTGCTGACATGCACTGCACCGTTGGGCCCGCAGCGGCTGGGTCTGTCCTGGGCACACAGAGACTCCTGCGTCCTTGCTCCCTAAGGACCCAGCGCTCACGCCGCATCAGGCACCGTGCGTGCTCCAGAGCGGACGTGAGGTCTACGGGGGAGGTGTGCACCACAGATGTTCACAACCCGGGGTCCTGGAACCAAGCCCCCTCGGACATACAGGACGACGGCCTGGGCAAGGGAGGCCCCGGCTCCTCGGGCCACAGAGCCTACCCGACTTGGCGAAGAAGTTGACGAGGGCGTCTGTCTCGCAGCTCTTGTAGAGGTCGGCCAGCTGCGAGCTGCAGTTCAGCGCCAGGTTGTGGATGCGCAGCCTCCTCTGCCCGCCCACGGTGGTGTAGAGCACGGCACACTGCAGGCGAGAGCCACGCGTGCGCTCTGAGGAGGGCCCCACCCCGCCGGCCCGGCCTCACGGCCCCGGAGCCATGGGTGCTGGGAGACCTGCCCACACCCCGGGCCTGTGTGGCATTTTTCGAGGCTTAAGCTGAAGGTGTAAAGAGGCTGCTCGCACGTGAACGGACACTTATGTGCATCTCCACGGAGTCCCTACAGCTCGGGTTTGTGACCACAGGTTCGGGCCCTGACATGACGCCTACGTGGTCTCCAGACCTGCGCACGCTCACTCCCCTGGGTGCTGCACCGGGTTCGATGCCCATGACCTGGCTACACGTTTCCAGGGTGACGACACCCACCCACCGCACTGATGCCAGCCTCTCTGCATTCTTTAAGGGCGCTGGTTGGGCCTGGGAACTGCGACCATTAGAATTGCTTGCTTCACTTCAGTCTCCTGGCTCCTGGTTCATTTTACAAGACAAACCCTATTTACACTTGCTAAGAACATAACGTGCGTAACACAGAGTCTGACCAACAGCAGGAGCACAGGGCAGGCCTGCGAGCAGCAGCCCGGCCACTCTGCCGGCGCTGGGACGCGGCCTCGAGGCCGGGGCGCCCACACTCCGACACACCTGCGACGCCCACAAACACCGAGTGCGGGTCAGCGCGCAGCGCATGCTCCGCAGGCGCCCTGATCTGGGGGGACTTCAGCTCCAGAGAAAGGGCTGGACTTCTTCATCGGGGGCCCCGGCGACGGCCGTCTGTCCCTGTCCCCCGAGCAGAGGTGGGACTCCGGGTGCCCTCACCTGGATCAGGGCCCCGCTGTCCTCCCCGAGCTTGTCATCGTGCTTGAACTGCACCGTCACCGCCTTGTCGCAGTCGATGGCCGCCATCTCCACGTCCGTGGTGTTGTTCATGTAGATCCCACCGAAGAAGTCCGTGGCTCGGAAGCCTACGGGCCAGAGAAAGGGGCACTTTGCTCCTCTTCCTTTTGCCGTTATTTTCCCCATCGGCCGGGCTCGACCCGGTAGAGGACACGCCGACACGGCAGAGGCCTGACGGACGCGTGGCCGGCACTCACCTGTGCTGGTGCGGACCCGCATGATGGCGTCGAAGCCGATCTTCTTCTCGATGTCGTTCCTGAGGTCGCTCAGGAACTGCGGGCTGTCCGAGTGCACCTGTGGGACGGAGGGCGGCCCACGCCCACCAGGTGGCCATCAAACACGGGCCCTAACAAGTCTTGTTGGTTTTTTAAAAGATTTTATTTATTTCTCTTTAGAGGGGAAGGAGAGAGGGAGAGAAATATCAATGTGTGGTTGCCTCTCATGCGTCCCCTCCTGGGAATTGGCCTGCAGCCCAGGCACGTGCCCTGACTGGGAATCGAACCGCGATCCTTTGGTTCACAGGCCCGTGCTCAAACCACTAAGCCACACCAGCCAGGGCAACAAGCCTTATTTTTTTTAAATCCCAATTAAAGCCTACTTTACCCAGAAACCTTTGGAAGAGTTCTTAAAGCTGTTTCAGTTTTAACCCCTCCTGCAATCATTAATCTTACCCCTTCAAACAGTTTATAATACAAATGCAGCTGGGCTCCTGAAAGTCCCCGTGGATGGAGAATTAAACCCAGAGGAGACAGCGACTGACACCCACCACTCCTGGGGGACCGCGTGCCCACCGTGTGCCCACGGGCAGGCGCCCCGACCCCTCCTGCTCCGGTGAGGGTTAGGGGACGCACCCGGTGGGCAGACCGGGAGAAGGGAATGCGGGCCCAGCGGAGCCCCTTCGCACCCTCCTGGGGCGGCCGGCACGTTTCCCGCCCCCCAAAAGGCTAAGTTTTTGAGGTACTGGTGTCCCCTGCCCCCCGAGCCCAGTGTCTCCGACGTCACAGCGAGGGTGACCAAGGCCACCTGCCCGCAGACCGGGCTTGCGGTGCACACCCAGCTCCTCTCTCGGTTCAGGCTGGGAGGGGGCGGGTGTGATGAACCGACCCCCAAACCGTCACCATTTACCACAGACGTAAGTCACCCTAAAACCAACTTCTCCAAGGGACTGAACATGAAGTTTTACATACAACACACGGGGTCCGCCATAAAAGATGCCCCCTTTTTACAACAAAATCTGCAGTCGCAGCATCCTGAGCATGTCGCTCTGTAACATGACAGTGTCACACACAAGCGCACCGTGACGCTGTAGGTGACATGCTCGCATTAACTGTCACCCCACCACCCGCACACCGGCAGGACCCCTCACTTTTCCCGCAGGGGACACTGCACTCTGCTGCCACCCGAGCTCCGTGAGCTGCCCACTCGGGGCTGGGGAGCTGCCGCCTCCACGGGCTCCAAACCGCCTCGTCAGCTGGGCTCTGGGGGCCACTCTGACCTGGGGCCTGAGCCCCACGCAGCAGCGTGGGCACCCCGGGGACGCACGGGCTTACCTGGAACTTGCTGTATTTGTAGAGGGTGCCCCCCGTGAGCTGCGGCACCAGGCCCAAGGAGGCCACGTCCACGTACTGGCTGGGGAAGAGGAAGAGCGTCACGCAGCAGCCGTGTGCCACGCAGTCCCGGGCCAGCGAGTCGTAGACGCTGCTCTGGGGCTGGAACAGAGTCTGAGGAAGGGGACGCAGGAGGGGGCAGTGAGGACCACAGGCGTGCGGGTGGGAGTTTTCCATTCCCATGGCACCGCCCCGACTTTCCACGTGGAAAGCAACTGCGTCACAGTCCACAGACCGGCCGGAGAAGGGCCCCACCACGGTCAGTGCAGGGAGCACACACGCTCCGGCCTGCGAGCCCCGTGTCTGCCCGACCGCGGCTCCTCCAGCGGTTCCGGGAAGCCGCTCCGGCCAGCTGCCCGCCTCCACAGACCCGGGCAAGGCGCCGCGTCCCAGCTCAGGAGGACCGTCCTGCCAGGGGACAGCCCCCCTCCGCAGGAGGGCCGACAGCCTCCCTTCCCACGGCTGGTCCCCCACTCCCATCACACCCATCCCTGACTCAGCGAGTCAGGAAGCCGGCCCGAGACCTGACTTCCACGCAGCTGCGCCCCACACCGCGGTTTTCCACACACAGAAAGCTTCTCGGGTGTTGGCGAGTCTAAGTGGTGTGTCCACACCCACCCCCGGATGTTCCGGGGCCCCCTCTCCCCTGACGCCCGCAGAGCCAAGGTGCGGGCCCTTCCGAGGGCGGCTGTCCCCGCACCTTCTCTTTGTCCGTGTTGATCAGCTTCTTGTCGTCTCTGTTCTTGAGCTTCCCGGGGGCCTCGGCCGTGGGCAGGGCAGAGTGGAAGATGAACAGCTTCCCGGGACACTCTGCAGCCTACGTGGACAGAGTCGCAGGGAACGTCTTGGGGGGAATGTGCTATTTCAGGCAGTCAGAGAATAACTTCAGATACAAGCACTTGTGAGCCAAGAACTGCACGCCTCTCACGGGACCCTCAGCGTCACCTCTGCACCCTGTTCTCCCCGCCGTAGGGACAGGGACCGGGCCCTGAGAGAACGAGTGATTTGCCAGGAAAGGACTTTCCCATCCTGTCTGTCTGTCTTTCTGGGCTAATCCCCAATGCTCCCTCAGCTTGCCACCCCTTGCACCACTCCAGGCTTTCCTGGAGTGCACCGTGGGCCTTACATACCTTTGCACACCTGTCCCCTCAGCCTGGCACCCACCACTCCCTTTCCTTGGCCTGGAACTGAGTTTGGGGGCACACTGGTGGGCCCCGTCAGCAGGCGGACGTAGGCTATTTACTAGTAATAATAAGGTGCTTGGGTCTGAGAATACTTCCTTCGGAAACACGGAGAACCCAAGGTCGGCCTGCCCTGATTCGTCACACTGCGTGACGCCCTGCCCTGATGTGCTCTGGGGAGGGGGGGTCACAGCTGACGCCAGGGACCCATGCCCGCCTCCTGGTTGCTGAGCCTGGCAGTGAGTTGCGCCAACAAGCAGACAGGGCCCTCGTGCAGGGGAGGACACGCCGACACCGCCCAGACTCTGTGGGGACAGAGACGCTGGACGCAGGGGACGCCGGGATGCGGGGCAGGCCCAGATGCTAGCGTGTGGCTGCCTCGCCGCCTGGTTCAAGGCCGCGGGGGAGGCGCGCCCCATCGTGGCGACAAGAAGCATGTGCTTCGTGTTAGCAGGTGTCTGTCCTCGGCTTCAAGGTTATCACCACTGATCAGCTACAGACTTTACTGGGCACCTCTGACAGAAAGTCAGCTCTAATTCAAACGGGGGCGTCAACTGCAAGGCCTCCACTTCGGTGTTCTCCCAGCCCCCACTGCCTGTCCCCAGAGGATGAGACGCTCGTCCTGGCCACCTGTAACGCCCTCCTGGGGGGGCTCACTGGCCGCAGCCCTGGGCTCCTGACGGGGTTCTTTGTCCCCAGTCCACCACCTTCCTTTGAGAATGCAGCTAATGACGTCATGTCCTGTGTTGCAGTCCCTTCTGCCCCCCACTGGGAGGGACTCAGAAGCAGGTGAGGTCCCGACCCCACCTCCCAGAGCCCGGGCATTCCTGAGAGGCCCTTGCTTGCTGGCAGTCACAGCCGCGAGGAGGGGGGTCCCTCTTCAGACCTGGTGGACTGGACCCTGTTCATCTATTTTTAAATAGATCAGGTCAAGTCCACGGAAAAAACCAAACGGAGGAGCTAAAGCCCTGGTACAACCAGCTGGAGTGTAGATGCCAGGAGCCACCCACCCACAGTCAGGGCCACTCCCTCCTGAGCTCCGTGGGCATCTGGAGTGGCCACTAGCAGCCCACCCGTCACCGAAGGCACCCCTCCTTTCACAGACGTGAGTGTGTGCTGTTGATCCGCACCTGTGAGCCCTGGGGGAGCCGCGCTCACCTTCAGGGCTTCCATGCCGGCCTGCACGACAGGAGCGAAGACAGTCTCATTCTCGCCAGAGTCGGCGAACATCTCGGGGATCTGGTCCAGTAAACTGTGCGAGACACAGGAGCGCAGGGCTCAGGTGTCCAGCATGTCAGTGAGAGAGAGCGACATGCCAGGCTCTCCCGCCGCCTTGACAGGCGGTGTTGACTCTGCCCTGAGCACCCAAGGGTGGGCATGATCGCAGAATCCCACTCTTTGGAGACAGCTTTCTATTCCCGAGGGCACTGAGGTCTCAGAGCATAAATTCCCACGTAGCTCTTACACCACCTTCCTCACCACTGAACACGCCTCAGGCAGGAAACAGCCGCCCGTGTAAACCGCCCAGCAAAGAGGGGACATTGGTAGGGTTGAGGGCGAGCAGGCAATGAATTCCTTTCTCTACAGACTGGGCTACACGAGAAAGACTCAGAGCAAACACGAAAGGCAGAGCTTTGTGACCCCCGGCTGAGCCCCCTTGCAGACGGCATAACAAAGCAGCCACGTGTGACGGAGCCGAAAGGAACAGACACCTGGCCGCACCCGCACTGGGGGCCGTGGCACCTACTTGTGAATCACGGCCTGGGACTCCTGGTAGCTGACGAGGAACCCGTCCAACAGAGGGACGAAGACCTCGCTGACGTCGGTCACCACCATCATCTGCGGCTGGGCCAGGCTGCTCTTGACATTGAAGAAATGCAGGGCTTTGTTGTAGGTGACAAAGCCGACGCGGACCGCGGACGTCTCTTCCTGCTCATCCCTGCGGGGAGAACGAGAGTGTGGGCTTCTTCGTTGGGGTCACGGGAGAGAGCCTTCCACCGGAAACTCAGTGAGCACACGCCCATGAAATGCATGGGCCACGAGAAAGGGTTTGCAGCCCGGTCTGAACTATCGGTTATCAGAAGTCAACACCACCTAGTCACGGGGCGTGGGGAAGGGATATCAGCAAAATAGGTCAGTTGATTTCTCTAAGCAAGAAAAAAATCAAAGAGCTATTATAAAAACATCTGCTCATCTTTCTCTAATCTCATAATTCTCCCCATCCCTACTCTCAATCCATAGCGATGTTTTGTTCTGTTTTGTTTTGTTCGTTGACAGGCCCGACCCTTCCATGCTTGGCCAGCACAGGCCTCTCGGGCACCACCACGGGGCGGAAGGCAGACGGGCCGCAGGGCAGGAGCGAGGGGCTACCCGGCCAGGACCGCCCTGCCCGCCCTCTGGTGACTCTCTCCTGCGCGCGGTGACAGGCTGACTTGAGAGCCGTGCCACGTGCGAACGTGGTGTCAGTGTGTTGTCACCTGAATCCCAGACACGGACTGAAGGGGTAAGTCCTACTAGGGGACAGGTAACCCCAGCGAGGGCCACAGCTCCCAAACTGCAGCAGGAGGTGACAGTGTCTGGGAGGAACCTGAGGCCAGGCCTCCCCTCCCGACAGGAGCATGAGGGCGGGGACGCTGTCACCAGGTCCAGGCTCGGCTTCCCTGGAAGCGAGGGGCCCAGACTGCGGCTCCATGTTTACTGAAGTCTGTCTGTCCTCTGTCTGCCCCCCCCACACACACATAATAACACTCCTGAGCACGCACAGGCTCTCCCTAACTTGCCCGTGTCCCGAGTGCTGACCGGTTACATGAAAGCCCCAGAGGACGGAGGCCGTTCGCTCTGGCCCTGAGTAGCGGCCCCACGGACACCTCTGAGGAGGTGAGTCTTTGGACAGGAGCGTGGCGGCTCAGCCCACAGCCCCGCCCTCTGAGTGCCCTGCCCTCCAAGTGCTGTGCCCTCCGCGTGCCCTCGGCTCATCCTGCATATTGAGGTGCTGTTTGAAAGCACCTCAATGTTTTTTAAACATCCGCACTCCTTCCCCAAGCCATTCTCGGGAACATCATGACTTCAGCATCAAGGACAAACAAAACACTCCTGGAGGCCCAGGGCTGCCCGTCCACTCCGCCCCAGGACTTGGCAGCCCGGGGCTGCGTGGCACCACCCCAAGCATCTGGGCCAGGCAGAGGGGGCCCAAGCTCAGCAGATGGGGAGGCAGGTGCCGAGACTGGAGTGGCCAGTCTCCTAGGCCCTCCAGGTCCCCCAGCCTGTGTCTGAGGCACATCTCCCTGTCACGGAGAAAGGCCCGGGCCCTGCTCCCGAGTCTCTCACATGGCACTAGTTTGTTCCCCTCCGGCAGAGAGCCTGCCCACGCCAGCAGCCACTGGTTTCCACCAGAAGACCAATGCCTCTGAAAATGAACAGCACACCCCAAGCTCCTCCCAGCACGTGGGGCCCCTTACAGCTGGCGAGGGTCGTGCACGGTGTCCGCACGGCCCGTTTTACCTGCTGGGTCCTCTGGCTCGGGCAGACGGTCACCTTGACTTTCAGGGGTGGTAAGAACGGCGCTGTGTCAGGAATGGGGAGCTACTCAGGGCCTCATCGGCAGAGATACCAGGGGCCCTTTGCACCGTTTTCTGCCCGAGACCTGAGGCACGACGGCGCGGAAGGTTCCTTACTTGGGCAGCCTCTCCAGCACCGTCTTCAGCTCCTCACAGATGAGCTTCACAAGGCCGCTCTGGATGTTACTGTAGGAGACGTCGATCATGAAGATGAAGGCTGGGGGGCTGGGAGGCTTATTCTTCTGCAGGAGAGCAAAGCATAGAGCAGTTACAGAGCATGCACGCACACACACGCACCGCCAAGGTGAACCTCAAGGGGCTCCCCAGGCCACCAGACGTCTCGGTCAACGCCGGGGCCACAGGGGCTGTGGGAGCAAACCGTTTCCTAGCGCACAGTCTGGACGCCGTGCATGACGAAGGCTGTCTGCCCTCTGGGGTCTGACCTGGGCCCTGTGCAGTCAGGTGCAGGGGCCGGGGGGAGCGTGGTCCGGACCGACTGGCTCCTGACACTCTGCCTCGTAGCGGGAAGCGGCTGCAACCCTGACGAGCTGTGCCAAAACAGAGTCCCTATAATGATGGGCGCCTGTTTCAAAGCTGCAGTAAAACCGCATTAACTTCATCGTGCTATTCTCAGATCTCTTCCTTGATAAGCCTTGTCAGCCTTAGAGACAGAAAAGTACATACTGAAATATAACTGCATGCTTTAAAAGTTGTACCACACTGTTACATGCTTAGCTGCCTATTTCTAACATCTTTACGATAAAACATGGAGCAGGAGGCCTTTTCCCCACCCAGACAACAGTCACTGGGACACAAAGCAGCTGCCCCATGGACACTGGCAATTGTGGGCCCTGCCGGGCCAGCGCCCAGGCGGCCGTGGGGCGGGACCCTTCCACCAGATCTCACGACAGTGCTGGGGAAAACCGTTTGCCACAGGCCAGTGACTGCAGTGACGCACTCGGAAAGAGAAAACAGAGCCATCGCTAACTTAACTACACAATAATCAAGGAAAACACTCTACAAACTGTAGTTTAATTGTTACAATTATGAAGTGAGAGGGTAAGATCTCCAAGTCACCTCGCTGGTTCATCCTGTAAGTACTACAAGGCTAGACACAGCATTCGCTTAAGAAAAGCTCTTCATCTGAAATGAGGAAGAAGCTACAGGACTGACAAATCGTGACCCTGACCCCCAGCCACTGCCACACCTGAAACCAGGCCAAGAGCAAGAAAGAGCCCGCTGCCCCCACGTGGGCAGTTTGCTGCGGGGCGTTCCTGGTCCCACCTCGTCTAACTCAGCATAGACCGATGCTCTGGTAGGCAGAACGACAACAACCATTCCCACCCGTCACACGGAAACACCTCTGGGACCCTGGGACCCCCCGTGCACCCACCCTCACCACCACTGCCCCCAGGGCCTCTGCATCCCCTCGCACTCTCTCCTGCGCAAGGCCCCGCTCAACTGGCTCCCAATTCCTTGGCCCCCCAATAGCATTCCTCTCCCGTGTCTTTGTCAAGGACATTGCCACACAGTGAGCCCAGGGCTTGAACTCTTGGCATTGCATTTGCCTATTCCCCTCTTCCCATCGCCGAGTCCCACGGCTCTTTCCAAAGGCTCCTTTCCCATGCTCTACCCCACCCCTACTCTCCCCGACCAGGAACTCTGCCGTCTGGGGCCCAGAGACTGCAATGACCCCTCGGCCTGGCCTGGGAACCCACTGCTACGCCCCTGCGGTCCAGCCTGCTTCATTCCGCCTCACTGCACAAGTGCGGATTGAGCCCGAGCCTGGTTTCCAAGGACATCCTCATGCTCCGAGCTCTTCCAGGTCTCTCCTTCCCGACAGTGACTTGTCTCTCTCACCTGCTCCTGCTCACTGTCCAGGCCTCACATGTCCTCAGGGCCCACTGACCAGCTCCAGAGGCACCCCTCTGAGTCCTTCTCTGGTCCCCCAAACTGGGAGCCACTGCATGGCTCCTTTCCAGGGCTCTCCGACTACTCCGCGCCTGCCCCACGGACAGCCCCTGCCCGGGGCTGACGTCACAGCTCGGAGCTTTCAGCCGGGTCTCCAGGTGACCAGCACCTTGCAGCAGGCCCCTGGCCTTGCTAATTCCAGTCTCTCTCACTGCACAGAGCAGGGCCTGGGACGAGTGAGGCGTCCAAGGCAACGTCAAGGTTAAGTAAAACTCACGGGAGAAATAAAAGGCTGGTTCAGAATGAGTTTTCATTTTAGGCATCTTTATATGCAAATAAATATATTCCGTAAACTTATATGTGAAAAACTTAGTTATGTGACAGAGTGGCTTTCTCTTTTCTCCCCCTAGGGGACTTCATGGTGATTCTGTGGATCTGTGCCTACACACACACAGAGCACCAATGCAGGGTGGGGCTTTGGGGCTCGGCCACGTCACTGTCTGGACGTTCAATCCGAGTCGGTGCCCGAGCTCTCCAGGCCTCGGTCGGTCCCCCGTACAGTGCTGGCATCTGGCACCCTGGTAGAACATTTAGATACTGATGGTCCCTTCGATATCTAAAACTGGTATTAAGATAAACTAAAATGAGCTGGGGGAAATGTGATTTTGCAGTTCGTACAGTGTTAAAAACACGTGTAAATAAAATAAGATCTTCTTCATCATCCAAATCTCTAAGGCGACTCATTATTATGTTTTACATTTTCAAACTAAATTTGAAGACACAGCATCTTTTATTATGAACCTCACTTGGGGTAATAAAAGAAAGAATAAGCTTACAAAAAAACTCTTCAAAATGTACAGTTTTTACTTGGTTCCTTGCCTGCTGGTTAGAATTTCCCATCAACTGGACGTCTGGGGCACTTCCAGGTCACAGAGTCTAAGATGCTGAGACTTTTGTTCCCAGAAATTTATCTGACTCTTTGCCTGGGTCTCTACTAAGAAAAGCATAAAATCAGGATAATGTGGCTTTTTGGCAGAGAACTGGCAACTCAGAACACAGCTGGATCTACGCTCCAGTTCCAAAGACCAGTGAGCTCATTTTCCACCCCAGTTACAAGGGACTGATCACATTTAATTAGAACATTTACGTTCTGCCTAATCAGCTGCTTTCAGTCCAAAGCACAAGGAACAAAGAAGCTGTCCCAAAGTGGCTGGGACTTCAGGAGCCGTTTTTTCCCTGAAACATAATAACGTTTTTGTACCAAAGAGTTATTATGTTTCCTAAGCTATGTTCAAATGTTATATTTTACACTAATAAAGCATTAGCCTTTAGAAACTGGTTGCATGTAATATAGCAAAAAAAAAAAAAAAACCATGGAAAACACTAAAATAAATGCAAAAAGCCATATTAAGTGAAAAACGTGCATATCCGAGCACCAGAAAAGATGTTCCCTGTAACCCGCCCTCGGTGCACGGAGCGCTCCGCCCGCAGACGCCCAGGACAGAAGCCCGGCACCAGGCCGCGCAGTCTCCGGAGCGCGGTAAGGATCTGAGTCCGCGGTGGCGGCGGCGTCACGGCCACCCCTGGTGCACACGCGGGGGCTGGAATCTGAGCGATGGATGCCCGAGGAGACCCCGTCAGATCCATGAGGTGCTTTCAAGTCCTGCAGGGCACCTGCGACCGTGTGGCCGCTACTAGGACGCTGGCGAAGGGGAGCAGCCACCGCCTACGAATGAATCCGCTCCTCCGTTCCCGGCCCGATCACTGCCCGCCCTGGGCGGACTCTGCGCCCGAGGCCACCAGGGAGCTGGGGCAAGCTGCCTGTCCCCACGCGTATCAGAACCCACAGCGAGGGGAGACGAGTAATATTTACGGTCCCGGGAGGGGGGGGCAGCTGCTAAAATGGGACTGTGAGCCAAGGGCTACAAGAAAACAGATTCCTAGGCAGCGGCTGTGAGGACGTGTAACGTCATGACGTCAGAGGCAGCCTAGCGCATGCGCGCTCACAGCCGGTGAAACCTGGCCAGGCCCTGGGGGCTGCCAGACAGGGCAACCTTCCCCGGAATCACGGAGCCCATGAGGGAGGAGAGGAGGGCCCCAGCAAGCACCAGAGTTTGCCACAAATGAAGACAGAGCCGAGGAGGCAGTCTGGAGCCCGAGAGTCGGTGGCCTTAGAAGGAGACTTAACCACCGAATTTAACACTCCAGAGTCGGGTAGTGGGGGGAGCCCGTGGCTGCTGAGAGTCTCCCGGGGACTCCGAGAGCCTGGCTCACATGGTGACAGCAGAGCAAGGAGGCCCAGGGGCAATCACTGTCCTGCTGACAACGCTGGCCAAGCTTTGGCTTTACGGTGACATTTTTCTGAGCTAAGGAGAGGACTGACCAGGCAGAGGCAGCATTAAGAGCCCAGCACGTTCTAGATGGGAGGGACATGGAAGTCACATCGCTATTTTCCATTTCCAGGACTACCTGTCAAAAATGGCCACTGCAGCCCTGGCTGGTGTGGCTCAGTGGGTTGAGGCCCAGCCTGTGACCCAAAGGGTCACTGGTTCAATTCCCAGTCAGGGCTCATGCCTGGGTTGTGGGTCAGGTCCCCAGTAGGGGGTGCAGGAGAGGCAACCACACATTGATGTTTCCCTCCCTCTCTTCCTCCTTCCCTTCCCCTCTCTCTAAAAATAAATAAATAAAATCTTTCTTTAAAAATAAAATGAGCCCTGTCGTGAGTGGCTTCACTGTTTCCCCGTGTTACCAGCCCTCTCCAGAAGGCCTGGCCAAGTTGGGGGCATGTCTACACCCCTGGCCCCGCCCACAGGCTTGGTGAGCGCATGCAGAGCAGTTCCTCACGGGTGAAGGCGACTCCCTGGCCCCCGGCCACTCACCCTGCAGTAGTCCCGAGTGGCCACGTACTCGTAGGAGCCCAGAGACAGCTCCGGCTTCTCATAGTGGTCCAGCCGCCTGCCCACGTGGTCCAGGTGTTGGAAGTAGGAGGGCGGGACTGACGAGACAGAAGGGGAGAGGGGGGCTCTGTTGGCGCAGCACAGTGTGGTGGGTTCTCCACGTCCGCTCCGGGAGGAACGGGCTTAGTCTCAGGGAAACGGGTATTTCCAGGCTGGAATGTTGTGTATTCTCAACTCCCACTATTTAAAAAGCCTATCTTGGAATGAATGAGGGCTTTCTAAAAAAAAGAAAAAACCCTTCGACCTTTCTACAAGTTACAAATGACAAAGCGTCTTTACGATGTGGACACTGGAGAGATGCAGGGCGACAGTGCCAGTGTTCTGAGCTTAGCACAGCCGAAATTTGGGAAATCTGCACCCACGTTAACATCCTCCATTATAACTTAACTTTTCCTAAACGCAGATGAGCTCACATTCGAGAATAAAGGAGAGGAGTGAGGAAGGAGAAAACTCTCGCCAGTTTGTCGTCTGCAAACGCAGATGAAATGCCATTTCCCTGCAAAGAAACCACCCACCCAGCCCGGAGCTGGTCTGGAAGGCAGCCTAGGGTGGGGAGTCAGGCTGAGCTTTGGCCTCACCAGGAGCCTGAACACGTGCTCCGTGCGGAGGGAGCACGTTTCCCACAGCAGACTCACCGTCGTTCACGCAGCTGCAGAAGCCGCACTGGTACCGCCGCCCTCCCTCGATGAACTGCATGAAGGGGCACATGTACGCCTTGCACCGGTTGCATCGGACTGGTCCGGCCTCTCCGTGGTTCACCAGGTACAGGGGAGCCTACGAGAAGCAAGTCCAGTGAGCTCGCAGGCGCCAGGGGCTTCCACAAGCCGTGGACTGGCTGCCGTTGGCACACCTGGGCCAGGAGCCCTCAGCCCCGTGTGTCGCCAGGAGAGAGAAGAGGACCCCCGACAGCCTGTGAATGTGCGGCCATGTCCTGATGAACACACATGTCAGGGGATGCCTGTTACAAGTGCTCACAGACACGCATGTGTTTACATGTGGGTGGGTGTGAGTATCTACTTGAAGACAAAGCAGAAGGAACAGGCTGGTACGAATACAAGCAACACTTCCATCAAAAGCATCCTCAGCACCTTGTACCGTGACCTCGCTGCGTTTGCTCGCTGACCGCGAACACAGTGGGGGATCTGATCTGATTTGGAAAGTGCCAGGCTGCCAGGGTGCACCGTGGGAGTGCCGCATGGACTGCCCGGCCCAGCACGCCCCGTGCTTCAGAAGAATGCGCTTTGGGGAGAGCGGGCAACCACGCCCACCGTCCCGGGCAGGAGGCCATGGGTCCATTCTACTACTTTGGCCCACGACAAAACGCTTCACAGAGCCCTCCTCTCTCTGTGGCTGCTCCTGCTTTGCCAGACCCCAAAACAAACACTCCCACTGCTTCTTTCTCATCGACAAGAGTGAAGCCACTGCGCACCTTCCACTCCCTCTCCCCGGACGCCGCCTCCTCCTCCTCAACTCCTCCAGCCTCCCTGGCGGGGCCACAAAGATGCTGTGGAAACCTCCCTCAGGATCACATCTCCGGAAAAGCTTCAGACGTACAGGCTCCCGTGCACACACTAACTTTTTCTTTAAGGAGACAGAAGTCAGCAGAGCAGACTGCTCTCTGGTGTCCTCAGGCCTCAGAGCAGGGGCGGCGGGTGGCGGGGACAAGGCTAGGATAATACACGAAGGAATCAAGGGCAGAGCTTTTTATAAATTCAGAATCAGTCCCCACGGCCTCGGCCTGCCCCTCCCCAGTTCTAGCCTGGAGGAATCCAGGGGCAGATCGGACGTCCCCTTTATCTCTTCTGATATCTCTTTGGACACTGAGAGTCCAGGCACGGCCTGCGGCCCAGCGCACTGCCAGGCTGTCCGCACACTCATGTTTTTGTGTTCGCTCTCTGGAACCAGAGTGAAAGATAGGTGCCAACCGAGGTGACAGCAAAGACTGTTAAGAGCCTTTTGCATTTACGTTCTCTTGCGGGCCACAGGACAAGGGTAATGTGATGCCGTCTTGTCCAGGCGTGTCCTCTGTCCTCTCTGGGTGCCAACGCATCTGCTGCGTGGCAGCCTGTGTGACGCACACACAGCCTTCTCCCCGCTTACCTGAGTTCAACTTTAGTGCACACTGGGTCTAGCAGAAAACTACACATCATAAAAATCACCCCCCAAAGATGTTACACCATATTTTCTTCAGAAATATTTACGGATTTAATAACTTTGTGTATGAATGTGTTTAAATCTTTCCTCCTCTAATACTTTCCTGCCAGCCCCTTCTTTCCTGTTCTTCCCTGAAATGTGGGGAGGGGCAAAGTGGAGATCCGGGCTCAGCCCCTCCCCCCCCCAAGGCCCTGGGTCTGCGGGGACGGACAGGGGGCTGAGCAAAGGTGCGGGAGGGCTGCCGTGTCTGATCTCGGGCTCGACTGACCAGGGCTGGGCCAGATCTATGTCGGTATCAATTTTAATGACAGTGCTCTAATTGAATAGACCGTCTCTCTTCTTGTGCATGTACAATAACATCATGGTCAATTTGGGACCACAGGCCAGAATGTAATTCACCGAGAAATGGGTTCAGTGTGACAATGGAATGTGTGATTTAAAACCGAACGAGAACAGGACGCTTTTGGCTATTTTTCCATGTGAGAGAGAAGACTGGCTGTGTCAGGCAGCAGCTGCCGGGACTACTAAGGCCCCGGATAAGGTTTCCCAAGTCCGCCTGCCACTCTGCCCCGCAGCCTCCCCATGCGGAGACCGGAACCCAGCCCGCAGGCAAAGCCGCAACCAGAGGCAGTGAGCAGGTGCAGAGAAGAGCTAGGGAAAGGGCAGCAGCACAGTCTCTTTAGCTTGGAGCGCCAGGAGAAAAGAGACGGGATTTCCAGAGCAAAATGACATTCAGTGCCACGGGGCACGGCCCACACAGACCCCACATGGAGGCGAGTTACCAAGTGTGTAGCCCCTGCATTTTCGTTTGGGCAACAACAGACCTCACAAAAGTCTGAACGCACAAGTGTCTCCACCAAGTCTGCATTTCAGACAAGTGATAAGTAACTAAGGCAGCTCAAGATTTGACGCTGGAACACACACCCACGAGGGGGCGCTGTGCAGCTACAAATCAAAACCACCCATCTCCCCAGGGGTGACAGGCGCAGGATAATCGCAAAGTTCATTTTGTGTGACTCTGACAGCATTTCGTTAAGAGCTATTTAGAACTTAGGCCTTCTATTGCCATCACAAAATTAAGAAACCTATGTTTTTCAGGAAAAAAACTCAATCATGGTTAAAAAATAGTCTGGGTAAAACAAAATGAGATTAAACAACATGAAATACAGGTTGTCTTAAGGATAAATTGTATAGAAATTACAGGATGTGGCAAATTTACTCAAGACAAATAATAGCCAAGAAAGTTAAGTTTCTAGCCCTCTGCCGCTTTCCCCCCACTGTCTGTAGGGGGCGCAGTCCTCGTCTGGGGAGAGGTGGCCCCACAGGGCAGCAGGTGACCCCCAAGCACCCTGTCGACTAAGTCTGCATTTCCACTGTGCACTTCGCTTGCCTTCCCCTCCTCTCTCGCCTGCTCCAGCAGCGGTCTCCAGGACAGCCGCGCCCACCCTGGTCCCCATCCACCCAGTGTCCTGTGTGCTGGGTCCCGAAGGGCAGGCGGTCTCTCTCGGGAGGGAAGCGTTCGCGCCGCCTGGCCCGTAAATCGGATCAGACAGCAGCAAGGAGCCCAGCGAAGCCGGCCCTGGCCCTGCAGTGGCGGGTCCTACTCCCCCAGGGCTGCTGTCCAGCAGAGGCGGCACCTGGGCCAGATCTTCGTTGGCCCTGGCCAGCAGCCCCCCCACAGATCAGCCCCCGGGGCGGGCCAAAGAGGGGCCTGGATTAATCGGGGACACCCACACAAGCCTGGCCACCCTGAAAAGCGGGAACGATCTGACTGCGAGGCACGTGGCAGACGAGCCGCCGGCTGCCAGGGGACGAGGCCCAGGAGCCCAAGGGAAGGGAGAGTCGGCTCCGCAGAAAGGCGAGGGGCGTGGGGGGCACGTGTCCACTCTCAGCTTTCCCTTGGCGACCTCCACCCGCCTGCTGGGCCGTGAGGGGGAGGCCACTGGCTCGCACAGCACACGCAGCTTCTGCCCGGCGGGACGGCCTTGCCCGACCCTTTGAAACGACAGGTGCGGCCTGGAGGGGCCTCTTCCCGATGCCTTCGGAAGTCGCGCTCCGCCCTCTAGAAGGACACAGGCCGGGCCATCAAACCCTCGGCACCAGGGTCCACTCTAAGAACACACGGACACTTCTCAAGGAGGTCTGGGGTTGGCCGCTACTAACTGAAACTGTGTGTTTTCCTATGTCCGGGAAATGAACTTCTTGCTGCTTTGTGTGTCTGTGGAACTTGAGAGGTGATGTCCCATTTCTCTCTCTTCACCTCGCTGTCAGCCTCTTGATTCTGGTAACTGTATCTAGTTGACACGGCTCCTTTCAGGAGAGAGGCGGGCGGTGATCGAGCCCACATTTCTGCTTACAGAGAGCCAGACCGTTTCAGTCCGGGAGGAGGAGGGGCAAGGTGACCGGGCCCCCGGGGAGTGGGGGTGGCGTCCCAGAGCCCTGCTAGCCAGGCAGGGCGGGCGGGCCCGATGGGCCAGGGCCCTGTCTCTCTCTCTCCTCAAATCAGTGGCTCACTGCCCAGTAACAGCAAAGGCAGGACGGTTCAAAGACCTCACTTCACTGAACTAAAATGACGTCTTTGGGGAAAATGCTCCATCTGACAATGTCCCGAAATCTTATTACAGGTTAGTCATTTCTAACATGTATTTTACAAACACCATGAGGGGTTTTTAGAATTTGTTTGTTGCATCATCTCCTGTATTTTATTCAATTCATAAAACTTTAAAAAATGAACTCAGAAGATGTTTAAGTATTAGTTTCACTTGCCAACGAAATCTCTAACCACAAATACTCGCTCCCAAACAGCACGGGCAGGCCTCAGGCTCAGCGCTGACCCCCACAGGTATTTCTGGGATGAGTGACAGGAAGAGGAAGAGGAAGAGGGAGGAAAGAAGGGAGACCCTGAAATCGGGAAGTCGGGAGGAAACATGAAGGAAGGAGGGAGGAAAGGACAGAGGCACGTTCCCACGGGAGGCTGTCGGCCAGTTCTTCTGTCACCGAGGGTAGGTCTGGGTGCAACCAGCCCTGATATGCCAAGTTCACCCCGAACGTGTACAAACAACTGCAGCGGACCCTCCCCTGGGAATGCTCCGGAGGTGCGTTGCGGCAAACCCAGCTGGGGCCCTCCACCGTGGGAGGGAAGGTCGGGACCCTCAGCTCCCAGTGTGGGGGGCGGGGCAGGGCCGGGGATGCCGCCACCCCATCGGCAGTCCTGAGGGACGCCCCAGCTTATGAAATGATCAACAAATGAGTCACGAGCCAAGGCCGGCGTGCCGGGGCTGGGCCGCTCCCTGGAGGCTCCGCAGTTTCGGGCACGCGCACAACGAGAGCCTCTGGGGCGCCCTGGCAGAGAGCACGCCCCCGCTGGGTGGCTGCAGGAGGGGCGCGGAGGGTTCGTGGGCAGGTCTCGGCACCTGCGGAGTGAGCTGTACGTGTCTGTGGGTTAAGTCCTTGTTGGAAAGCGACGGAACACACGCACTGACAGTCCTTGTAGAAAGGACACTGCTTACGAACTGTCACGCCACGCAGCCGCCACGCAGCAAGATGTGGTCACCAGGGCGAGGGCGTGGGGGACAAGCTCGAAGACTCCCGAGTCTGGGTGTGACTGCTCGGTGACGAAA